AACCAGAATGGGATAGCAATTCCTGTTCTTTTCTTTTAAGCTGCTCGGTGTTGCGATGACGTTCAACGTTGTACTTTTTTCACAATTCACTTTTACAGAGCATAGTTGACAGAATAGCTCTCCATTTTCTAAGACCCTGACCTCTTTTGGATACCGGGTTTTTACATGAAAGGCCTTCTCGCGGGATGTAAGCTTCGCACGAGGCACGTCGCAATCGTAAATGGTCAATTACGTGGCTTACTGGCTCACGTAATTCTCAGAATTATTTGAAAAGCATCACAATTGAAATTTCATTTCTCAGAAATGTAGGTATTAGTTAGTTAAATTCTGAGAAAGACCAAAAATGACTTTATAAATAGCAGAAATAGCATTTATAGCAGTTACGTGGTGAAATTGATAAAATTGACCGAATATCAGTAATAGCAGAAAAAAAGTGTCACTTCCAAAGACAAGGTTGCTCCCCATTTTCATTGGTTGGAACAACAAAGATAGCCGATTTTTGTGCATAATACCACAACGTTTGAAGTAAAGTATTTCATGAACCATAATAAAACAATTAAATTCAAAAAAATGTCTCTTGTTTTTTAGAAGGGGCAATTGAATTATGTTAAAAATTGCTAAATTTAAGGTAATATTAGCAAATTGTTGTAACAGAGCATTTAAGGCTGTCCGCTGCATCGATTTTGCATCGAATATCGATGCAAGGGCATTCATCGTCATCGAATCGAAAGTCGATGCAAAAATTATTCGATGATCGACGATTGGCAGCTGCGTTTTTCTGAGAAATGCGCTACAGCTATAACGTGTTTATACAATAATTACGTCATTAATAAAATTAAAATAACTAAATAAGTCTTAATTGAAATCAGTAAAGTACAACTGATTGACAAATACATTTACAAATTGTAGTTTCTCATGGAAAATCAATTAGAATTCGAAATTTCATTCCGGTCAAATGGTTCGGAGCAGTATCAGTGATTTGTATGCCAAGTTATAGAACCTTACTAATAGCGCTTGTATTCCGAGACCTCTCCGAGATTTGCAAAGTTTAACTCTTAAGTGAATAGCTAACACTTAAGTGATTGGAAATAGCCTTCTAACTTAGTTTTACTGAAAAATGCGTTACAGCTATAACGCGTTAATATTAATTACGTCTCTGAGAATCTTCTAACTTAGCAATTTTTGTCAGAATGAACTCAGCAGTCTGGATTTTTTTTATCAAGTCAACTTCCGGAGAAACTTGCGTGTGCAATAAGTGTAAATTGGAGCTTTCTTGCGCCCAACTACCACAACTAATGCAATTGTCAGAAAACTAATTCGCACCGTTGCAGCTCAAGACAAACGAGAACACTATTCCACAGAGAGCTTGAACAGTATCTTCATGAAAAATACCTTGAAAGGAACGAAAACCGGCTTCTCTACTGGAAGAAAACTGTGAAAAATTCCCAAAAGTTGCCAAACTCGCAGAAAATTTACTGTGTATTCCTGGAACTGCTGTTCCCAGCGAGAGAGTATGGTCTGATGCGAGTAATATAGTAACATCAGCACGACAAACATTATCTCCCGTAATTTTTCGTATGCTACTTTTCTTGCGTGAGAATTTAAAATAAAATTTTGTTTCTCTGTTTCAAATTTTGCTTTGCATCGAAAATTCATCGAATAGCGATGAATTTTTCCGCATTGCATCGTCATCGCATCGATTTTGAAAAAAACTGCATCGCACAGCCTTAAGAGCATTAGAACTGAATTGATAGTTCAGGTTATTTTGTAAACTTTGTGTTTATTAGTCTGAAAAAACAACAAAATGCAGGCTTCTTTTCTTAAAATGGAGTTTTTCGAATCGTTTTTTTTTGGAATCCAAATCATGGTTGAGTGGGTTTTAAATTGATTCAAAGTTTTGCCAACTGACTATCTCCGAGTTTCTGTTGAGGGAGCACAAATCCGGCGCAAAAACGCACAAGTTAATCTATTGATCCTCATTTCACATTAAGAAGCGGCTTAATGCACATATCTATTGTTTCGCAGTTTTTTCACCAACAAGAGTTTCCGATGTTGGTTCTCACTTTGTCGGTTGGCAAATCAAATCATGGGATATAGCAAAAACAACCTATTTAGATCACAGAATCTGTTAACAACCTCGAACTTGTTTTCCGGGTAGTCTAATTACAAGGTAAAGTGTCTGCATTTTAAATTTATGCTCAATCGCTTGGTCAGCGAACTTTTTAGTATTTTGACTATCAAGTTTTTTCTAAGTTCAGCGGATTCCTGCTTAACTGCTTGAAAACTAAATTTCAACAGAATCAGCAAACAGTAATACCCCAATCGTAGGATTTTTACTGCAAGAAGAAACAAATTCAAATGCAAATTACTGAGGTATATCATTTCGCATTTTAAATTGTTACTGAGTCATGAAAACACTTTATCAGCTAAAATTCTCGCCGCTCAAAAACACCATGAAGGAAAAAGATTTTTTGTGCGCAGCAATTTAGAAAATTTTATGCCGTTATCAAAGACATATCAGCCGAATAGTTTTGTGCTTTTTTTCTGGACAGTAAGAACACCGTATCTGGAATTCCAACAAAAACAAATCTCAACCAGGAGTATAGGAAAAAAGTATCTCAATTATACTTTTCAGTACCGCACTTTTCACTGAACCAGATGCAGAACTTCGTCTGGTTCTGGAGTTTTATTCTAAAATCCAATTATTAGGCCTATTTGCAGCTTAAAGCTAAACGAATAAAAAAAGCTAAACGAATGTTGGTTTTTTGTGTACCAACAAATTTGCAGCCTCCTCACTTACCCATAAGCAGAACTCAGGCCTAACATAGAATTTTAGTCTAAATTGTTACAATTATAACACGTATTTGCAACTTTCTTTTTAATGAATATTTAGAATAGTGTTATTTAGGTACAAAAACGTTAGTGGAGTGAAGCGCTTGAAACTAACCACGTGAAAAAACGGAAGAACGTGAATGAAAAGACGTGAATGACAGAAATTACTGAATTTTCAAAGCAAAATTATGGACATTAAACAAGAGTACCTGATTTACTCGCACCGAAAATTCATAAATAAAATGGATTATAACGGATTTTTGTTGACTAAAACGTTGTCTATCTAATTGATTATCATGGCACATTTAGACAACGTAATGGGTTTTTAATCCATTTTAATTGATTAGTTTCGAAAAACAAAATTCCTTTAAAAAAATCCATTATAATAGCTAACAATCCATTTTTGTTTTCAATAGAATGAATTATTTTTTAAACTTAAAATCCAGGAAAATTGATTAAATTTTGTAGATAATGACTCTACTTTTCGCTATTTTCTGCAAAACTCGAACGAACACGTTCATCCAGGGGCGGCCAGAATGTAGTAACTTTGAAGAGGCCAATATGATAAATTTTTCAAAAAAGTGCCAAAAAACTGCATTTTTGACCAATTCCCCACGTCCCTACTAGAGAAAAACAACTAATGATCTCAAAAAGGGCATGATAGTTTTCCGCATGAAAAAAATGTCGGGTTGGGTACTTATGGAGTGTAGGGACGTGGGGAACTGGTCAAAAATGCAGTTTTTTGGCACTTTTTTGAAAAATTTATCATATTGAAAAATCACACAAATATTGAAAAATCACACAAAACATTTAAATAAATGGATTATAATCCATTATAATCCAATATAATCAATTATTATCCATGAAAATTTAGTGCGGGTAGCAAAAAGAATCACAAGAGGACAACGTTTCGGAACTTGCGTCTGTTCTTTTTTCTTTCTAATTGAAATAAAAGCTTTCTGTAACCACTCGACTAGCATAAAGCTTGACTAGCATACATTGAAATGTATCGAAAATATCTACGGAAACATGAAAGTGAAACGACTAGCATCACTTGATAGCTTTATTTCTCAGAAACACAAAACAAGACTCAGCTTAACTTGAAATTTGCATTTCTGAGAAATAGAAAACTGAGTAAATGACAAATTAGGCAATCAACTGGCAAATTAGATGCCTTAAAAACTAATCAACAGTCACACCCCGACCAGTAATGGCTTGATCAAACACTAATTGCCGCGCAAAAAAAAAGAGTTAAGTAAGTGAAAGAACTGACTTGTTTGTAAGTATTTGTTTTTGCGTATAATGATTTTAATTTAGAAAATATTAAAATTTTCTATTTTGATTTTTATGCTTGCAGATACTTTTTCAACTGTAAAAATTTTACACTAGTCGAGTTTTATGCTAGACGATAAACCACCGGGTTTTGAAACAGAATTGAAACTTTTGCCTAGAAATTAATAGTTTTTGTCGCAAAGGTTGTAACATAGAGTTGCTATGTCAAAATTTTAGATTTATATGTAACTTGAATCGATCAAACACATTTTAGTCGGGCTGTAAAAAAGCACACAAAATAGCCAAGACGGTAGAAATTGATCTGACTTGGGTCGAACGAGGTGGAGCACAGTTTCATCTGTCGAGGCAGTCGAAACATCAACGAATTTGGCCGGCAAGTTCAAAATATATCTTGCTTGGGTCCAACGATGAAGCAATTTACATTGTGTCAAGAAAGTCAAAATATGCCAGAAATTAGCCGAGAAGCTCAAAACACCGAATTTTGTTCCAGATGGTCGAAAAATGAAGTGAACACTTCGACCGGGAAAAGTAGCGCAAAAAAGCGGTTATTTTATATGAAAGTGGTGGAGGGTTAATGGACTTCGCTTGTTTACAGCTGACACTGGCTGCAAATGAATGGGAACACTTTTTTAAGGGAGAAGCTGAACTTCTTTCTGTATATCTTAAGAAAAATGCTTCAAATTACATTTATTTACTCTAATTGTAATAGAAGCAACCGTGTTTGGGCTCAAAAGAGACACTGTGAATATTCAAATTGCTTTTTGAAAGTGATTAATTACATTCGCCCAACAAATAGTTGTTTTGATCTAGAAAAATGTTTTTTTTTCTACTAAATCTAAACTTATGTATAGAAATGCCTCTAATATAAAAAGATATCTGTGAAAGTTTGAATTAAAACTTACAGCTTTCTGATTCTTAAAACAAAGATTCCAATAAACAAGAAGTTTGGACTCGTTCATCCATCGTTCGAGTAAATCGTGTTTTTGATCCATTCGTAAAAATAAGGAATACTAGTGAATGTACTGCCACCATTGCAAGCGTCCCTCGGATGTCCATTTTTGGACAAGTAAAAACTAGCCACGCCATACAAACATTGAGGCACAAATGTCTCACAGTAGTAGGTCACTAATGGCCCGCCTTGGTCCATAGCGCACATATTGGAGCCATGAAACAAATTTTCAGTGCAAACATTATACTCTTTACAGAATCTCATGTTAAACACATTTGTAGATTGGAAATAGGTTTCGTGGAAAACAGTTTCTAGCAAAGTATCGGGGAGTTCAAAAGTCTGGCCGGAAATGGCCCCGAGGCCCATAGCCCCTAAAGGTTGCCACCCGCCTATTTTCCGACTGCAGAGGTCAATTAGTTCAAACTGGCCACGCACAGGACTGCTAAGTTTAAGAAGCGCAATGTCATATCGAGGCAGGAAATTTTCATCTATTTGCAACCTGAAACAAAGTTAAATATCGCTCATTTTATGATTGAATGCTTGACATATGCACTTTATAGGATAAGCTTTTTTCAAAGTTTTGATGAGGAGTCGTTTTGATTCCATTCATAAAGGTAAAATACCTAAAAAAACATACTAAGCTTTTTCAAAAATTATGCAGTTTTGTCGTGCCGCAGTGTCAGAATCTTATTCGTTTTTAGAACTATTACTAAGTTAATTTTATCAGTTTATCGGAATAAAAAAAGCAACATCACAGCTTACATGTCGATACAACCAAAAAAAATTTCAAGTTTCAAGAAAAACAGTTTTGGAGCTACTTGAGTATTTAATAATTTTCAAATAATTTTATTTAAAATTTATGCCTTTCAAAACTATCGCCAAATAAACACTTTTACTTTTTTTCTCAGTTTAATTGTTTTTTGTCATACCGTTAGTTATGCATCGTTAATTTTTATGTGATTTTCATGTCGAAGGCGTAACTTTCAAAATATATCAAAAAACGGACATCAAAAATCATTTTTCTGAAAAATTCAAAAGTTGCTGAATTGAATTGAAAATAAGTCGAGAATTATAAACGATTAGGCGGCGTAGCGGCTAACATAAAGTTTTGCGATCATAATAGGAATTTTCAGTCAGTATATGTATGGAGATTTATAAAGATGTAAGCCAGCCTGCTGGTATCTTTCGATTGTCCTCTAAGATAGATGTCTAGTAGTTTTCATACAAAATATCGGTTGAGTTTCATACGGAGGCGAATATGAGCTGCGCAACACTTGCAAATAAAACGAATGACTACGATTAGAAGAACATTGGAAGACAAATCAAAAACTGAAGAAAAAAAATTGCAAAAAAAACCAAAAATCTTAAAAAACGATCTTCACTTTTAGAAATTCAACGAAAAGCTCTCGGAAGGCTAGAAAGAAGCAAACAATCAAAAAATATCTTTCCATGGGATTTAAGCGGCTAAAATAAGCAGAGAGACGATTGTCTAAAGCAGCCGAAAAGCTTCAGTTTGCAAACAGGACTAAGCCGAAGTCGCAGGTTTTGTTGCTTCAAGCATGAGTTTAAACACTGCGCCAAAAGCGCATAATTCTTCTTAAAATTGAATTTATAATAGAGCAACTAAAACATGTGAAACATTTTCGGGTACAAATTCTGGAAAAAAAAATTGCGGGAGAAAAGTCTAATACCGTCTTGCAACACCCTTGCTACGCGTAGGGTTAAAGACAAAATTTGGAATCAGTTTTGAGTTGGATTAACTTTAGTTTACGCAACGTGTTAACAAAAATTTATTAAAAAGCGCAAACTATTTGTTCCAAACTGTTCAGCGTAGTCCCACATTTAAATCACGTAACTTTGTAATTTGCACAAAATTGCCACAGTTATTGTTTTGATTTTAAGCTCAGAGAATCCATGTTTTTAATTATTTATTAAAAAATTTCTTCAAAAATCAAAAGCCAGTTAAAAAGTCGAAATTCGTCTGGAGAAAAAACTACTTCTTCTTCATAATATCATAAGATTTTTTTAATTTGCAAGCCTAATTGTCTCCTGGCAATCAAGATCTGGTTCCGTTGCTCATGTTGTGTAATGCATAGATTTGTTTTAAATTTTTTAAAATAATGATGACTATATGAAAAAAAAATAGCATAATCAAGAAATTATCCTAGATGAATGACCCAGTTTTAGAAATTACAGCTTTTGTGCTGGTCCATTTTGTGCTGATCAAGTTTCAATTCGTTGTGTTTCAAACTTTCTTTTTGTTTTTGACGCTTGTTTTCGTTTTTGGAATTTGTTTTCGTGTTCCATTATTAATTTCTGTCACGGTTCAGAAACGTTCGCTTTCGGGGGCTCGAGAGCAGAACGCATCCAAGAGCAGAACGCATCCAAGAGCAGAACGCATCCAAGAGCAGCATGCATTAATTGACTGGTTAGCAGAGTAGATTAAATTCCACTACAGTTTAGAAATTATTTTAGATCATGTCACAATTACGCAATGGGCACAAACATAAAATTTTAGTTAACTGTGGCCTTTTAAAGCTGATATTCTATATGCATGTTTTCATACAAAATAACGGTTGAGTTTCATACGGAGGCGAATTGAGCTGCGCAACACTTGCAAATAAAACGAATGACTACGTTTAGAAGAACATTGGAAGACAAATCAAAAACTGAAACAAAAAAATTGCAAAAAAAACCAAAAATCTTAAAAAAACAATCTTCACTTCTAGAAATTCAACGAAAAGCGCTGGGAAGGCTAGAAAAAAGCGAACAATCAAAAAATACTTTTCCATGGGATTTAAGCGGTTAAAATAAGCAAAGAGACGATTGTCTAAAGCAGCCGAAAAGCTTCAGTTTGCAAACAGGAGTACGCCAAATTGGCAGGCTTTGTTGCTTCAAGCATGAGTTTAAACACTGCGCCAAATGCGCATAATTCTTCTTAAATTTGAATTTATAATAAAGCAACTAAAAAATGTGAAACATTTTCGGGTACAAATTCTGGAAAAAAAATTGCGGGAGAAAAACCTAATACCGTCTTGCAACACCCTTGCTACGCGTAGGGTGAAAGACCAAATTTGGAATCAGTTTTGAGTTGGATTAACTTTAGTTTACGCAACGTGTTGACAAAAATTTATTAATGAGCGCAAACTATTTATTCCAAACTGTTCAGCGTAGTCCCACTTTTAAATCGCGTAACGTTGTATTTTGCACAAAATTGCCACAGTTATTGTTTTGATTTAAAGCTCAGAGAATCCATGTTTTCAATTATTTATTAACAATTTCTACAAATATCAAAAGCCAGTTAAAAAAATCGAAATTCATCTGGAGACAAAAAACCACTTCTTCTTTGCTGCGTCTACATATATCATAAGAAGTTTTTTTAATTTGCAAGCCTAATTGTCTCCTGGCAATCAAGATCTGTTTCCGTGGCTCATGTTGTGTAATGCATAGATTTGTTTTAAATTTTTTAAAATAATGATGACTATATGAAAAAAAAATAGCATAATCAAGAAATTATCCTAGATGAATGACCCAGTTTTAGAAATTACAGCTTTTGTGCTGGTCCATTTTGTGCTGATCAAGTTTCAATTCGTTGTGTTTCAAACTTTCTTTTTGTTTTTGACGTTTGTTTTCGTTTTTGGAATTTGTTTTCATGTTCCATTATTAATTTCTGTCACGGTTCAGAAACGTTTGCTTTCGGGGGCTCGAGAGCAGAACGCATCCAAGAGCAGAACGCATCCAAGAGCAGAACGCATCCAAGCGCAGCATGCATTAATTGACTGGTTAGCAGAGTAGATTAAATTCCACTACAGTTTAGAAATTATTTTAGATCATGTCACAATTACGCAATGGGCACAAAAATAAAATTTTAGTTAACTGTGGCCTTTTAAAGCTGATATTCTATATGCATGTTTTCATACAAAATAACGGTTGAGTTTCATACGGAGGCGAATTGAGCTGCGCAACACTTGCAAATAAAACGAATGACTACGTTTAGAAGAACATTGGAAGACAAATCAAAAACTGAAGAAAAAAATTGCAAAAAAAACCAAAAATCTTAAAAAAACGATCTTCACTTCTAGAAATTCAACGAAAAGCGCTGGGAAGGCTAGAAAAAAGCAAACATTCAAAAAATACTTTTCCATGGGATTTAAGCGGTTAAAATAAGCAGAGAGACGATTGTCCAAAGCAGCCGAAAAGCTTCAGTTTGCAGACAGGACTACGCCAAATTCGCAGGCTTTGTTGCTTCAAGCATGAGTTTAAACACTGCGCCAAATGCGCATAATTCTTCTTAAATTTGAATTTATAATAAAGCAACTAAAACATGTGAAACATTTTTGGGTACAAATTCTGGAAAAAAAATTGCGGGAGAAAAACCTAATACCGTCTTGCAACACCCTTGCTACGCGTAGGGTGAAAGACCAAATTTGGAATCAGTTTTGAGTTGGATTAACTTTAGTTTACGCAACGTGTTGACAAAAATTTATTAATTAGCTTAAACTATTTATTCCAAACTGTTCAGCTTAGTCTCACTTTTAAATCGCGTAACGTTGTATTTTGCACAAAATTGCCACAGTTATTGTTTTGATTTTAAGCTCAGAGAACCCATGTTTTTAATTATTTATTAAAAAATTTCTTCAAAAATCAAAAGCCAGTTAAAAAGTCGAAATTCGTCTGGAGAAAAAACCACTTCTGCTTCGCTGCGTCTACATATATCATATCAATTTTTTTCAAAAATTTGCAAGCCTAATTGTCTCCTGGCAATCAAGATCTGGTTCCGTGGTTCATGTGGTGTAGTGCATAGATTTGTATTAAATTTTTTAAAATAATGATGCCTATATGAAAAAAAAAAAATAGCAGAACAAAGAAATTATCCGAGATGAATGACACAGTTTTAGAAATTACAGCTTTTGTGCTGATCGAATTTCAATTTGTTGAGTTTAAACTTTGTTTTTGTTTTTGGCGTTTGTTTTCGTTTTTGGAATTTGTTTTCGTGTTCGATTATTAATTTCTGTCACGGTTCAGAAACGTTCGCTTTCGGGGGCTCGAGAGCAGAACGCATCCAATAGCAGAACGCATCCAAGAGCAGAACACATCCAATAGCAGAATGCATCCAAGAGCAGCATGCAATGCATTAATTGACTGGTTAGCAGAGTAGATTAAACTCCACTATAGTTTAGAAATTATTTTAGATCATGTCACAATTACGCACTGGGCACAAAAATTAAATTTTAGTAAATTGTGGCCTTTTAAAGCTGATATTCTATTTGCACATTTTGTTAATATTAAGTAGCCGCAAAAAGTGTGGTTTTTAATTTGGAGTAACAAATTAAAGTCATTCTGTGTGTGTTGATCTGGGACAAATATTTTTTGTTACCAATCTCCCTTTATTTACAAGGAATAACACTTAAGTAAACACAATTCACCTTGATGACTAATGATGACTAATAATTCGCTTACCCTGGAGGAAAGAAAACTTGGGCGACAAAGTTGAATCGACTAATAGAATCATCGACCAGCAGGGGTTCCGAAAAATCCTTCACCTCGACGCTGATGTTTTCAACTAAAAACAAATCTAAAATAATGAAAGCGTTAAATTTATTCAAGTATCAAGGTCATATCAACGAGGCATTGAATCTAAATACAAGCTGTTCACCTCTTGGGGTAGAAGTCGGTTTGTTCCGCTGACTAGAAACTACACTGAGCCTAACTTTGTTATTTTCTGAGCTGGCAGATGCTGCTTTATGCTTGAATTCATACTGGGCATCGAGCCTTCGGCATTTTGGCTGAAGTGAAGACACGCTCTCGGGATATGGAACACCGCTATTTCATTTGGACCAAGTGAACAATCTTTTCCCTCAAATAAGGGAGGAGATTGTTCACCTGATTAAAAGTAATACTTTTCAGCCAATCAGATTTTAGCATACAATATGCAGGCCTTACTTCTTGAATTTGCCATTTAATTTCAGGGGAGATTGTTCTATTGGCGTATTCAGGGGATAAATTGTTCACATGAGACTTTTTTAAAACACAATTTCCAATTTTCAAATATTGTATTTCCATGTTTTTCACAGCATTTTTTTCTCAGAAGCACATTACAAGGCCAAACTGAGTAATTTGTGAGCGGATTCCGCAACAAGGACGCTCCTTTTATTCTTCTTTTGTTATTTCATTCTCTTTGTTCGTTCCGACAAAGTTTTACCAAGTTTTAAGACTTGTCTCTGGAATCCAGGAACATACCGACACAAAATTGTGCACCTATCCAGTGCACAGTTTGGCCTCGTACTGCAAAAAAAAGATACGGAAAAAACTTGTAATGTTGGCACTTTTCGCGTTCAATATAAAATGAGCAAAAAAAAAGTTTAGTTTGATTATGATTCAAATCACTCACTGAGAGTCTTTTTATCTGATAAAAATGTTGGTACTTAGTATATCAATTAAATTTGAACAGTTTCTTTTTAAGTAGATGAAATGAAAACCAAAACTCAAAATAGCCGTGAAAAAAAAAAACAGCAAACCGGAACCGCGACGACAGATGGTCAAAATGAATACACGTTAATTGTCAGTGGAGGTTTTGAACAAATGGTTAATTGTTTCGAAGGTTCGCGGAATGGAACAAATTCAAAAATATGCAATATTTTAAGCAAACCGCAGAACATGGGAAAAAAGTGAGTGCTCGAAACGAAGTTTTTACTTAGAAGAATAGCCTGTGGCGCAGAAGAAATAATCATTTGTTTGGCTGTGGTTAAAAAGGTGGCATATTTTTAGTGCCAATCAATTGTGCGGCGGTAGTATTCCGTCAAAGAAAACTGATAAGTGTTCTACAATTCCGTTCTTCATGTTATTGTATAGGTTAAAATTTTACAAATCCTAAATAAACATGAAGCAACTGAACTATCTCCCCATAAACCAAATTAGGGAGGAGATCACTCACCATTTAAGAAACAAAATTTTCAGCCGAAAAATTTTGAGCATAGTAGATGCAGGCCTTAATTTTTGAATTTGTCATTTAATTTCTGTGTGCAGATTTTTCTATTGGTCTATTTTTCTATTGGTCTATACGGTACCTCACATGAGACTTTTTTAAAACACAATTTCCAATTTTCAAATATTGTATTTCCATGTTTTTCACAGCATTTTTTTCTCAGAAACACATTACAAGGCCAAACTGAGTAATTTGTGAGCGGATTCCGCAACAAGGACGCTCCTTTTATTCTTCTTTTGTTATTTCATTCTCTTTGTTCGTTCCGACAAAGTTTTACCAAGTTTAAGACTTGTCTCTGGAATCCAGGAACATACCGACACAAAATTGTGCACCTATCCAGTGCACAGTTTGGCCTCGTACTGCAAAAAAAAAGATACGGAAAAAACTTGTAATGTTGGCACTTTTCGCGTTCAATATAAAATGAGCAAAAAAAAAGTTTAGTTTGATTATGATTCAAATCACTCACTGAGAGTCTTTTTATCTGATAAAAATGTTGGTACTTAGTATATCAATTAAATTTGAACAGTTTCTTTTTAAGTAGATGAAATGAAAACCAAAACTCAAAATAGCCGTGAAAAAAAAAACAGCAAACCGGAACCGCGACGACAGATGGTCAAAATGAATACACGTTAATTGTCAGTGGAGGTTTTGAACAAATGGTTAATTGTTTCGAAGGTTCGCGGAATGGAACAAATTCAAAAATATGCAATATTTTAAGCAAACCGCAGAACATGGGAAAAAAGTGAGTGCTCGAAACGAAGTTTTTACTTAGAAGAATAGCCTGTGGCGCAGAAGAAATAATCATTTGTTTGGCTGTGGTTAAAAAGGTGGCATATTTTTAGTGCCAATCAATTGTGCGGCGGTAGTATTCCGTCAAAGAAAACTGATAAGTGTTCTACAATTCCGTTCTTCATGTTATTGTATAGGTTAAAATTTTACAAATCCTAAATAAACATGAAGCAACTGAACTATCTCCCCATAAACCAAATTAGGGAGGAGATCACTCACCATTTAAGAAACAAAATTTTCAGCCGAAAAATTTTGAGCATAGTAGATGCAGGCCTTAATTTTTGAATTTGTCATTTAATTTCTGTGTGCAGATTTTTCTATTGGTCTATTCAGGAGGTAAATTGTTCAGATGGGTCCATTATTTGAACGGAAATTTTGATTTTTCAAAAACGTCTCTTCATATTTTGCACAGAATTTTTTCTCGCAATTTACGGTACCTCAAAACAAACACCTTGCTTTCAATTGTCGTTTTATTTTTAAACCAAAATTTTATTTTTTTTCCACTCATACTTTGGGTCGAAAAAATGTATCTCAAAAAATTTTCTCAGTTTCGTGAATAAATATTATAATTATTTTTATTGACAAATTCAGCAAATGGAGGGTAAAATTATGTGGTTGTCTGCATTTTGTCGATGACTCCTTGCTATCATAAATCCTCGAAGTATTGATGTTTGAATAATTTATTTGAAAAGATGATTCAATTTTAAAAACCTGAAATTTTTGTGTTTCTAGAGGTGTTTTCGAAACACATTTTTCATGCACCTTGTTTCACTATTATTTGGATTTTTGAAGCTATTCTTTTTGCAATAGGTAGAAAAAAATTGCCGAATTTTGATGACGTAATTTTTATTCTGATTTCGTTGTTATTCACTCGTCCGCTCGCGGTTTATCGAGATATCACTTTATTTTGCACTGAGCGAGCTTCTACAGTGCTGATTTAAATTATCCGGACAAAACGAACAAAACTTGAATTTTCAAACGCGTTTTTCTCAAATTGAGTTAAGATTAGACAAAAAGTGAATGGGACAAAAGTTGCTTAGAATTTCACCAGAATTAGTATGGTGCCATTTTTTCTCCGAAATTCTCAACAAAAACTTTACCCCAAAAATGGGTCATTTTGGCTTTTTTCAGTTAATCAAGAATTACGCTGAAACAACTTTGTAAATTGATAAGAAAATTATATCACAGGAAGCCTCTTACGCAGCTTAACAATGTTTGAGAAGGGTTAAACCTCCAAAAATTTGCGCAAATTGTTTAAAATTTATTTTTAAACATAGATTCTGAGTTTTATGTAGTAAAAATCACATTTATTGTTTATCAAGTAAAAATTTTTTCATTTAAACTGGTTTTTGAAGATTTAAGCCTTCTTAAACTTTGTTGAACTGCGTAAGCGGCTTCCTGTGATATAATTTTCATATCAATTTACATAGTAGTTTCAGCGTAATTCTTGATTAATTGAAAAAGGCCAAAATGACCCATTTTTGGGGTAAAATTTTTGTTGAGAATTTCGGAGAAAAAATGGAACCATACTAATTCTGGTGAAATTCTAAGCAACTTTTGTCCTCTTTACTTTTTGTCTAATCTTAACCCAATTTAAGAAAAACGTGTTTGAAAATTCAAATTTTGTTCGTTTTGTCCGGATAATTTAAATCAACACTGTATAGCGCTGATTCAAAATAACATGATAAAACCAACTTAAACTTCAAACTCCCGTTTTTATAAATTTCGGTTAATTTTAAACAAAAAATGATGATAATTTTTTTTGGAAAATTACAAAATTTTTGATTTGAAAAGTTTTAACCCAAAATTACCCTTTTAAAACGGGTCAATTCATTTGATTCAAAAATTAGGAGGGAAACAAGGTCAGTTGATGTAAGAATGACTACAAATGACCCTGTTTCACTCATTGATTTTCAATCAAATGTATTTGTATTGACCCGTTCACGGGTGTAATTTTGGTTTGGAATTTGACAAAATAAATTTTCCGCAAGAGAAACTTGTCCAGCGCAAAATGCAGAAAAAATTCGATAAAACGGCAAAAAGATGAGTGAACAAAAAAAGAAGCCAATATAAAGGATTATTTAATCAGATTTCGACTAAGTTTTGCTACCTGTTGCTAAAAGAATAGCTACAATAATCCAATTATTTTCGCAATAACAAAAGATTTAAAAAAACATGTTTTGAAAAAGTTCTGCAGTTAAATTTTAAACAAAATTAACGGATAGGAGCATTTTGCGCAGTTTTCACAACGACGGGCGAAACGTTTCATTAACGCTAATAATTGATATCCGATTCCACAAAAACTAATCCATTTGCTCTTGCATAGATGATAGAAACATAGTCGAACCTTGTGAATGGTAAACACACTGAGCTGCCGTAACTACCCATTGCAACTCAATCAGTGTCCCCCCACAAAAGTGATCGGAGTCTAGAGACAGAATGCGTACAAAGAACATCCGCCTCTCCCTCACCGGCATTCCGCGGACAATTGATGAAGTAATTGCATCTCTCGGCCTGACATTGCGTGGATCCTTCTCGGAAACAAACACCTTGCTTTCGGTTTTCAGTGCTCCCAAAAGTAACGAGACAAAGAAGATCTTCAGCATGGACATTTTGCTGATGGAAAAATGTCACATATAATATAAAATTGCAAAAAACTCAAAATCTGCAGCATTAAACTATCTGGAAGTTAATTAAATTTTGAAATGGTATTCCAATGAGTTTACGAAAACTAAAAGATATTTTTTCTTGACCTTTTGGAGCTTTGAAGACAAGGTTATTGCTATTTAGACAACCAAGATGCTTTGCTCCGATAAAACTCAATAAAATTTCTAACTAAGTCCAACTGTGGTGAATTTCTCAGTAAAAGTTAAGCAAATATGAAATTTGTTGATCCAAGGACTCACCAATTTACCAGAGATTTCGATTGATTGGTTACAAAGGTTTATAGTTTCTTAGGTCATGATTCGATTTTGAAAAGCAGTTTTCTAATAAAGTGCAAGCTTGAACCCTACACATTCTGAAACTGCTGCCAAGAATTAATCAACTTAACGCCATCTATTTTCTGGGATAACCTCAAAAGGACCATATGTGGTACTAAGAAAATAATTCTAAGAGCAAAGGGGTTTATTTTGACAACGTTCATATAAGCATGGAACCTTATGCAAGAGCTCGAAAACACGTATCTCAAAACAACATAGACATCACAAAAACTGAAACGCCTCACGAAAACTAAAGAACATGGCCTACAAATAAGTGGAAAGATTCCAGTGCTCGCAACAGACCGAAAAAAAATGATTTCTACTACAACTTTTTTTTTTAAAAAAATGCAACTTAAGAATTTCAAAGAAATTATCATATGCCCCAAACTTCTTCGAACATGGATAACCATTTAGGACTAGAAATTTTAGATGAAAATAACCTATTGTAAAATTGGGTCAATAGGTTAAACTTGTAATTTTCAAACTTCAAAAAAATAGATGGCCTAAAAACAGATGGCCCTGAAGCCAAAACTGGTCAATACTTTGAGGTTTTATTCCACTTGGAAATCTGAGAATCAAATTTGAGATTAGAAGCCTATCAAGTTTTTTGCGACATTTCCGCGTTCATATTTTTTAGCAGATGAATTTGAAGTTAATTCGAAAACTGCATCTATACCTAAATGCAGGGGCCGATTTTCTCTCGGTCGCTTAACATACTGTCGGTCCGGGTTTCTAGTCCTTATTAGGCCGTTGTTCAAGTCAATCATCACATCAAAATTCCTGACAAAGTCACAGCCCAAGATGAATTGGTCGGAGTCGTCTAAGTTCTCCACCACCAGGAAGCTCATCCAAAGATCCCGTCCTCCCAGATTGCTCACCTATTTTCCCTCTCAAGTGTTCTATCTCCGGCAAAACCGGTTTGTCGGATTCTAGTTCGTATGACGAGGGGCGTTCCGGAAAATTCGAGCAGCTCGGCAAGCCGTCATCCGTTTCGGATTTCATTGAAAACAGTTTATTAATAAATTTAAATTCATTAATTCTCTTTAAATTTTATCTTTATTGTCATGATTTGGGCAGTCTTTCACGTTATATCTTTTCAAGTTTTGTGTCTCCTCATAGTCGGTCTTCATCAGCAAAGCGTAGCCAAGTTTCTTTCCACGCTGGATTGAAACCGTGGTGTCCAGTGTGTTCAATAACACACTGGCACACAGTCCATTTCGTGTTACTGAAAAGCTTCGGCCTAAAATCACTGAGCTTTGACTATTTCGGTTGGGTACCAGACAAACCTGTTTACCATCACTTAACGAGTTTAAATTTCTTATTCCAAAAATTGCTACTACATCTTGTCTTACTTTTCTATCTAAAAATTGGTACTTTGTTCTCGTCTGCTATGATTCTATTGATTGGTCGCATAACATACTTCCGGTCCGGGTTTCTAATCCTTGTTAGGCCGTTGTTCAAGTCAATCATCACATCGAAATTCCTGACGAAGTCACGGCCCAAGATGAATTGGTCGGAGTCGTCTAAGTTCTCCACCACGACGAAGCTCATCCAAAGATCCCGTCCTCCCATGTGAAGGACTGTTATTGGTGTTCTTCCGGCTACGTAGATCGCTCCGCGATTGGCGACCGCTAATCTAAGGTTCGTCGGAATTAGATCTTCCCTCGTGAAGCCTATTCTTTCCCAAGTCTTTATTGGCATCACGCTTACCACTGCTCCTGTATCCAGAAGTCCTGTCACTCCAATTTTTTTCCCATCGGTGTCGAGCAGATGTGCAGTCACATCTGCTTCGTGCCCTCTGTGTACCGCATTTTTCTCAATCATGGCATCATGGCTGATTCTACGGACCTTAAGTTCTTCCTGACCCAAATAGATCTGCCCTATTTGGTCACTTTCTGTTGTGACGTAGGTCCTAGTATAGATACTGGTCCCATCCACGTTCAACATCACCTGATATGGTCCATAGTTTTCCACGCAGCGCCCATGGAGTTTCTTTATTCGAGGGCCACCCGTTGTCAATAACGCTCGCACAGCCCTTGACTCAGTGCTTGGCTCTACTTGTCTCAGACAATCTGCATATGTATCTAAATGCATCATAGTGAACGCTTAAGGTTCACTTCGGTTCCTGATCACCTGATGTCCCGCAACTGAAATTATTGACTGTATTCTGCTTCCCTGTGGCACCACGCCGAACGTTTGCCCGGATATCACATTTAGTTTCATGCTCAAACTGCTTGGTGGTTTCGTTTCTTCGACTTCCGATGCCTGGTAGCTTTTAGCCTTTCCTGAGTTTTCTCATTCTCTAGTTCGAGCTTCACCTTTTGTTCGATCTCCTTCGTCACCAAATCCTGCTGGACTCTGTTTAAGGCATCTCTCGCGGCTCTCCTATAGTCGATCTTCAAATCATCTGCCATCGTCACTGGTTCAGGCTCACTCATTTCTTCAGTTACTGCCTGCATCTCCTTTGTTGCCAGCTCTTGCGGTTTCTCCTTTCTGCGTGCCTCCGCTTCACTCAACAGGCGAGCCTTGCTGGCTTTCTCACCCGACAAAGCTTCCTCGTGCCTTGGATGCTTGATGTCTGCCACAGCATCCCAAAATTATGGACAATCCGATTTAAATTGACCCCCCAAGTTACAAAAGAAACACCTTGGGCCCAATTTCCCAATTACTCACCTCATGAAATCTTCATGATCGACCTCTGACGCATATTCATCCTCGAGGCTAAAGCCTATCGCTTGACCCGTCGATCAAATTGATTTTCTGAGCTCTCGCAAATCACTATTAATACCCCATTTTGAACAAAAAAGGCCAAAAAATGCGTTTTTAAGCACTTTTTCGAAAATTTCGTCCAAAAAATTGTGTTTTTCGGCGCGCGCTGACCCTTCAAAAATTTATATATATTGGCACCAAAGATGCCTTTAGAAACATTTTGTTTTAGGGTTCCTCGCCAAAAAAAAAGATCTCAAAACAGTACAAAGGGGAGAGCCCCCCTCCCAAAAAAAATCCGCACTTCTGTAGCTATTAGAGCATTTTTATAATTTTTTTGAAAAAAAACACCAACCCTAATTAAGAGTCTTCACTATGTTAATCGACTCTTAAACAATTGGAACCAGTTCTAAACTAATATTTATAAACCAATTAATTTATTGATAAAATAATCTCTTTAAAATATTACTAACCAATCATATTCCATCACTAACATTGACACTTATTTGTAAGTGCTGAAACTACTTGTAGTTTCAGCACCAGAACAATTTGAATAAATTTTAGACCACAGTTGTTCTCCTGGATAAACTCCAAGAACTAACTCGTAAATACCAGTATACACTAGATCTATTGAGACTAGGAGATATAAGAGTTAGATTGATATTAGACTAAGAAAATGCACGAATCTATCCGGCCGAAATTCAGATAGCGTGACTAACAGACGGTGTACCTTATCTGAAATTACTCTATGAGTACAGTACCACGTACAACCCATAACGTGAAAAAAATGCGAAATTATGTAATTACAATAAACGAAGGAAGTTTTCTCGAACTTTAAAATTCAGCTTTCAGCGGTATCATAAATCGAAATCAGCAATTATTGACTACCTACGGCCACATTTCGAAGTTTTCAAATCAGAACGTTGACCCTCTGATCCAAGACAACACCAATCTCTTCGTTAGGTTTCGGGGCCGAGAAATATTGTATCACCAGTAAAAAAAGATGACGGATACTGGTATGCATCGAAACATCACCACACACATATGATGCAGACATTAACAAACGCTCATTCCATGTATACAATGACTGCTTCTTAGTTACATACCTCTTGAAAACAGTTTTAATCAATGACTATTTGACGGCAATTTTACATGTCCAAGGCTACTATATTTACAATCTGTAAAACATGTTACATATTTATAGATAATTTCTTTATGTACAGACCGACTTGGGTCAATTATGAGAATTTACAAAATTTAGAATGTACAAAATTTATCAGTCTGCTCAGCATACAGAATCTAATTTTGAAGTTTCGCTCGCTAAAAACTTAATTTTTTTTGGATGTTTTACTGGATCATCTGTTGTACTGCGTCCCAGTCTAGTTTGCTACTGATCTGAGACTCCATGTCCATGTCCTCCAGCTCCGAGAAGTCAATGTTAGTCAGTCGTGGTGAGTCCGAAGTTGCATGTGACCCTACTCCACCATTCTAAAAATAAAAAAAGAATTAATTAATAGAACTAAAGTTTTGAATTGGAAGTATGTCAACTTCAATATATTAAATAACCAAAATCTTCTAAGCAAGCCAAAAATCAAACAAATGTACAATCCATGGAATTCATGATATGAAAACTTTGAAATGAATCAGTTTTTGGGTAATTTTTATCTTCATTTTCGAGAGCTAGTTTTAACTGATCTTCAATTTATTTTTGAAGACCACGAAAAAATTGAAAATGATCGAATACTTCTATGAAGTAAAACAAAGAAGACCTAAAGACGAGATAAGTTTCTTGAAAACACAAGTTACCCTTGACACAGGTCCCGCGTCATTATCCATCTGCAACAGCTGTTTCACTTTGGTAGGTACACTCCATGCACTTATATCCGACATCTCCGACATATCGTCTCCACCGAACCTATCGTCATCATCATCATGAGCAGTCCTCTTGCCGTCTGGGATGCGTCTCGCTCTGCCTGAGATAACTTCCTTGTCGGTGGCTTCTCTGTACGGACTGGCGTAAGGTCGGTCTCTATGTGAAGCACTTCGCTGGTATGTCTTGTTGGCAGGAGATCCAGTTCCTAAAACAATCGAGCCTTCTCATTTTCCATCCAATACATTTTACAGTACGAAAGATGTAACAAAATTTTTAAAAATAAAACACCTCAAAATTTGATACAGAGGCGACGCTTCGCTTCGCAAACACTTGCGAGAAAACGACAAAAAGCAGCTCTATAAAGTTCAACACAGAAGCGAAGTTGCACTTCGCATACACAAGCAAAAATACGACCGACAACGCTACTGGGGAAAAACTGAATGAGTGAAACTTTCTCAAGTGACGCACGCCAATTATTTCTCAAGTGACGCACGCCAATTATGAGTCTACATAATTGCTAAAAACGCAAGCAACTTATGATGAATTAGCAGTACCAGTCAATTTGACAAAAAAAAAGAAATTTACCAACTAACATGCCTCAATTTATAGAGCGGGCGCATTTTAGCTAGTATACGAAAAAGTTCGTTAAAAACATCCGATGCTGCCTAGGTCCGAACCCTCTTATTTTTCTGCTGGTCTCCTTCCTTACCACTACGCTACAGATCCATGATACCTTGAAGCTAAAGTGCTATTTGTAATATAATAGTCTTGTGTTAGTATCCTTAGCATTGATTATACTTAATAGCCGGTTATTGATAAAAATGAACACATTTTGTCGCAACAATATTTGTGTCGCAAAAATATTTGCGACTTAAGTTGGAAAAGAGAGAGTTCATACTATAACACAAGCTTTGCTTGTGTAATAATAGAAATTAGAAATAAGCCTCGAATTAGCAAAATTTTGTAACTTCAGGGATTCGAACATGCGACCTAGATATTAAGAGACTCACACACCAACCACTCAGCCAGGGAAGCTTAATACACGCCAAACACAAGCCACAAGAAAAACAGAGAACAGATGCTATGCATTTCCAATGCTACAATGAAATTTCCAAATAAGTGAACACATATATTTGCGAGTTAGATTAGAAAAAAAAGAAGGTTCGTAATAACACACAAAGATGAGCGCAAGTGTTAAGCAGCCTTAATTATAAGCATAACTTAAGCAGCATAAATAGTATGGCCTTAAAGCTCTTAGAATTTCTAGAACAATTTACGCTAGATATTTTTTGACAAAATTGACCCAATTTGATAAAAACTGGTCTTAAGCAAAGTGCTTTTAAGCAAATAATTTGAGGTTATATAGTAAAAAGATATTTTTTGGCTATCACACAAAAATATATTAGAGCTTTGTTGGTCCGTGTAGGAGGCTCCTTTTCATAAAAATTGCTCATCAATTGACTAGGTAGTTTCAGTGTAATTCTAGATTAAATAAAAGAAACCAAAGTGACACATTTTTGGGGCAACATTTTTGGTTCCGAATTTCGCAAAACTCAAAAATTTAAGCAATTTTTGTTCTCTTCATTTTTGTCTAACTTCAACCCAATTTGAGAAAAACGCGTGTTAAGTTTTCACTTTCGTTCGTTTTGTCCGGATAATTTAAATCAGCACTGTAACTCTCTGAAAAATTGATTTCGATGCTTTTAAACGAAAGACTGCAACTCACGTTTGAAAGTGCTGCCGAAATTACTTGTCTGAGTTGCGGGAGAAATCTGTCTACCACCCAGTTTCTGCAGCTGTTGTGTGTAGGTCATTGGGGATCCCCTCGGAGTCTTGGTCTTCAGGAGGGGTCTGCCTGCTCTGACAGGAGAAGGACTGCCAGTACGCACCATAGCTGAAACATCATCTCATATAATTACATTTACAACACACAAAACATCCCGTCTTATTTCTACTTAGCTTTGATGTTAATTGTAAAAAAAAACTATTTCAGCACGTGTAGTCAAAAAAGTTGTTGTAATAAAAACAGGTTTTTGGCGTCCTCTCGTCCAGCCGATTAGAGTATTTGGCGACTCCGATATAATCCAAAATGGGTAAATTTTTGCATCGTCAGCGATCAATTTTGCGAGAGGGAAGGAGACGTTTGTTCGCCTCTTCATAATTCTCTGCGATAAACAGCATACTTTGGAATTGCAGGAAGTCAAATGAAAGAAAGTTTACTTAAACTTAATTGATGAAGGTCAAATTTTTTTGCATAACAATTTCTAAAATGTTCCAGAATCTTCTTGAAGTGTTGAATTCTAATTTTTATGCGATTCAAGGGCTCCAAAAGCTTCAGAAAGTATTTTACTTTTAACTAATATGTGACTAACGTGACTTATCCCTTTGCAACTCTTGCAGTCTCTCCGCATAAGTCTTGGCCACTCTAGGTTTCTTTTCTGTTTTCCGAGTTGCCCGCAAAGCATTGGGCGCTAGAACAAAACAGCACCCTTCATTTATACCTTCAAAGACAAACACCCAAAAAAATCGATTCCTCGTGCATCCGAACGGGGCATAAAGGCACAAACTTTGCGACCTAAGCCTCAAACATCATACTAATACCGGTAAATTCTAAAGCTGCATGATTATTTTCGATGCTGTGAAAACGGCTAGCTTTAAGTTGTATCGTTATAATAAATATTTCTTAATATTTTTCCAATTTTCAAATTCTTGTCGCACTCGAGACGACCCATCCTGTCTAACTTACCGTTTGCGTTCGGGGTGTTCCTGGCTGGCGATACACTGGGTTTCGGAAGTGGGCCCGTAGACTGGGCTTGTTTGACTCTGTCATGATGTGTGATTGTTTTGCCTGGAGAGCTGCTTCTGTTCCTAGTTTTGTCTGGGTTCTGAATTTTCACCAGTGCCGTAAAGGGCTTAGGTGGCGGCTTACTCGCTCTAAAACAAACAGGAACAATTTCAGCTTTTCACAATGCTTTTGGGGCGAAAATCCCAAGAACATAGAACCGTGCATAGAACATATTTAGACACCTAGAACATATTTGCATACCAAAAAATTCCTGACACAAAAGTAAAACGGTTGAATCAAAATTAGAACGCATAAGTATCCGTAAAAAGCAAAAATCAGAGACGCAAACTTTTGACCATAAACCATTTATGTCAAATCTTTATATTTAGGAAATGACCTTAACTGTCCTCAATGATAAAAGCCAAACATCTGGACGAAAACAGGGAAAATGAATCACTTACTGAGCTTTTCTCTTATCCTGATCTGCCTCTTCTCTTGCAGTCTCCTCGCCTCCTTGCATTGTCCCTTGTTCTCCCGCTGGCCCATTGTAGTTAGGGTGACTGTGTTCGCTCAGCTGACTCAACTCGTCTAGTCTACTCATCAGTTCTGACTCCTCCTGCTCCCGCTCCTGTCTGATCTCTTCGGCAACTCTCCTTCTCGCTGCCAGTTTGTGGTTCGCTTGCAGTCTGTAGTACTCGTACCAGGAACTGTAACCGGCTGGAGGATCCTGAATTACAACGTTAGAACAAATGAACATAGACGCAGACTCGACACAATCAAGGAAAAAACGTTACCGAACCAATCTTAGATTTATTTCTACAGCAAAATCCTAACAAAAATTTTTAAGTAAAACGATGAATTCTCGATTATGATAAGTTACGCAAAACCGGTTCCAATAATTAGAGAACATATGAAGCAAACAACGATATGCATATGCCTTCCTGAGCAATAAATTAAATTGAGTAGTTGGAAAAATTACTTAAAATGCAACACAGTTAACAAAAAATTGGCAAAGACCGAAAAAGATGATTGACCAATTTTCAAAAAAAATTTAGCGTTCGAATTTTGAAGAAAACATTGAGTAAAGTTAAGCCTCTTTGAATTTCAAGAATCATTTATGACTGACACTTTTTCAAAAAACTAACTCAAATTGAGAAAACTAAATCTCTGGTAAATGCTTTATTCCGCTGGAAAATCTTAAAATAAACTAAAAACCGAGACGAAGCTGAGCTTCGCACCAGTTGCGATACAAAACAAAAAATGAAAAAATTCAAAAATGTCAAAAAAACTAGATTATCAAAAAGAATAAAGCTATTTTTCCAGCAACAAAAACATGCCAAGACAATAGAATGGAAAATTGACATGAATAAACTGTACCCAGCGGTAACAAAGCCACAAACACCTTGTCGGACAAGACTTAAGACTTATGAAATGTTAAGTTGAGCATCAAAATTATGTTTCCGTTGAAACGACTCAAAACTAGGTCACTAAGCCGATAAAAGAATAGGTCAAAACCATTTGTGCAGAATAAGGTTTTGTGAAAAAAAGAAAATAAACGAATTCAAGGCGAGGTAAAACAGAACACTAAAAACAACTATAATGTATAAAAAAAATTTTAATTAAATCTACAATATGGCAACTAAGCCGACAATAATAAGCCGACAATTTCCTCTTTGAAAAAAGCATGTCCTGTCAGATTCGAACGAGGATCTTTGCCTTCCCAGGCGCATTCGTTACCTCCAGATCAAGTGAGCAGATGCGAAAAGATTTGAATTCATTATGATCTGAACCTAAATTTACAATTTCTAAATTTGACAATTTTGTGAACAAAGTTATTTACGGGAAAAAAGTCAAGTACCCGATTGCAAAACCCTTGCTTAATGCAAAGGTAATTAAACATTAAATAAATTAAAAATATATCAAATTTTAAAAAAAAAACAAGAAAAACCTAAATAAGTGTCTAAGCTGCTTTCACTGACACTTAATCACTCCTGCTACTGACATCTACCTGTGAATGGGATCTAGAGCGGGACTTGGACGGTAGAGTTTTGTTAGCGGGCACAGGCAGCCTGGACTCATTTCTGCTTCTGTTAGTAGATGCGCCACTCGCCATTCCTCGTCTAGCAGATAGCACCGAGGGTGGGGGCAGCTTCTCGTGTCTGGAGGTGGTCGGCCGATCAGTCGCAATCTCACCCAGAAGTTCTTCGGCTGACTGGTATCGCTTCTCTGTAAATTCTGCATCACGCTCTCTGTTTAAAGAAAGAAATATTATATTGAGAATAAGTTTTCTTCGTATGAATATCCCCATAAATATCACCTCAATTAACTCAAAACTGTGGTACTTGGGAAACTGCGGTACATGAAATAGCAGTATAAGTGTTGTATAGGTGAAACTACTAATTTTTCGAACAGTTAAAATTTTATTTACTTTGGAAAAAACTCTCTTCGCCATCTGTTCCAGAAAAAACTCTCCACGCATTCCACTTCAAACGAAAACTCAATTTCTAGATTTTTAACAAGAAATGAAATTCCCAGTAAAAAAAAACACAAAAGGAATCGCTGGCTGGTGGTCAACACCGTTCAGACAGTCGTTGGAGAACTGGCACAGTGGCAATTGCAAAAGCACTGAGGGATCGAACAGCTCTTGTGCATTGATTTGTAAGATTAACACCTTCAAGATGGGAAATCCTAAGTTAGCTAGGTTACATAATGAGCCTCCTAACTAAGCTCAAACTAACACAAACTTGTCTGTACACTTACGCCTTCATGTTCTCCCTCATTTTCAGGTTCTCTTTGATCTCGTGGGTGGTGACTGAGTGGTGGTTGTGATGTTTCTGAGTCCAAGGCTGGTGTTCCTTCTGGGCCAAGTCCTTCCGCTTCTCAATGTACTTCCCCAGCCTCTCCTTCCTCTTCTCCTTCATCCACTTTCTAACCTGCAGCAAGTGTCCAAGTTATAAGACTGACATGAACAAGGAAAGGACTGCTTTCTTTTGAAATTTATTTCCAGCTATCGAGATTCAAAGACAAAATAACATCAGCTTTACAGCTCTTTCAAGCTGTAAAAAACATCGAGCACACGGCCAAAAACTCAAATACTTGACTTAATTCTTTGCCTCTTAACAAAAGAGATAACCAACTCAAGTATAACATAAAAACGTAAATTTCCTGAATTTTTGAGAAGTTTTTCGAACTACACAGAAAAAAATGAACAAAAGGCCAACAAAAATACAATTTACTGAACTTCTAACTTAAGCTTTTTTTTTCACATACATAGCGCCTTCTCTTACCTCTTGCTTCTTTGCTTTCTCTTTTGCCTCTTGAACCAGCTTGGATGCTGATTGGTTCTCTCGCGTTGACAGTCCACGGAGATCTAGTTTCGACACTTGAGGGGGAGGATTATGTTGCCTGAAGTTAATTAAGCGAGTTAGAAAAAGATCGTGATTTAGTATCGTGATGAAGTGTTAAAATGACCGAAATCTGCTGCGATGAAAATAAAACATCATGAGTTCTACGCGATTGATACAAGCGCTTTCTAATCCAAGACAACGCAAGTCTTTTTAATAAGAAAGAAATGGTTTTGGAACAGAAATTAAATCGACAATAAGTAGTTGATGATTTGCTGTAGACATAATATAAAGAAGATTTTCACGGTACCTGATGAACTCCTGTTGGGAGTTATTCTCATGACCTTGACCTACAACACTCTTCTCTTCCGAGTGCAGGAGGTCAAGGTCAAGAGTGGCGTCCACATTGGTGAACTCCAACTCGTTATTGTCATCACTTGAAGAGACAATCATAGTTAGGTTATATTTGAAAGTTTCTGCTATCAAACCTTGCACGCTTTCGTGTACTTATAGTGTTCAGGTCGCAATTTTTTACCTTCCTTGAAACTGTACGCACATATTCAATCAAGGATAGACTGTAACTGTGCAGGTAGCACAGAATAATCCGACCAGTCGTAAAAAAACAGCAAAAAGTTTTTTCCAATCAGCGCCGTTTTTTCTGCGTGGTGGGATAAAAGGCTGATCAAAAAACTAGAGTTTAGGAATATTCGACAATTATAGTAAAATACGCAACTTGGAAAACAATTTTTAGAGAAAATGACAAGAAAAAAAAACAAAAAAAATCAAAAATCTTTTCATTTTTTTGCTGTGTGAATGCACGTCTATAGTTATTAGAGATTTTTATGCATATTTTAAGACTTTTTCTATAAAAAAAAACAAAAAAAATCAGCAAGACTTATATAACCGCGAAAAAACGAATTATAGCCTGAAGAAAGAATTTTTTTGGACTTTTCCTGCATATAAAACGAAAAAAATCATTGCGACCTATATGAGTCTGCACAACGTTCATCGACTCTTAAAACGACAATCCTTTTTAAATCTAAACTTACGCATTTGACGCTGCCAGAGACCCAAGATCAAGAGTTGCATGTTTATCATCAATGTCTGCAGCCTCATCAGGCTTTTGTTTTCCTTCGTTTCCAGGTGTGACACGTGTCGATGGTCTCTGTTTGTTCAGGTCTTTTGATTCGGGATCCAGCACATCCATCATTCCATCCACCTTGTCCATCAACTGAAGACATCCAATTTCAGAAAACTCAACATGATATGAACTAGCATATAAGCAAGCAGTGATTCGCATATAGAACAAAGCAGCCACGGTTGAGAAAAAACTGACCGAAAAAACTGAACAAAAAAGCTCCGAAAAGATATCTAGGAATCAGTAAGATCGCGATTAAGCACCTTCCCCTTTGCTTAGCAGTTTTTGGCCGCAAATATGTAATGCAAAGCAGCCGTTGAAGATCGTATGCGCGAAAACATTACTCTTACCTAACGCATATATTTGTCATTGAGCTGGAACACCAACTTTGCTGCTTTTAATCACCAGGAAAAAAAACGCTTTGGAAAAATAACACTGCACATTGCTTGCTTAAACACTATTTGTGAAGAACCAAATGTATATTCCTATATCTAATGACTACTACTGATGTCACATACTTAACAATTATTTTCAACGAACTAAATTAGAAATCTTATAGTGTTTAAAGTTCCTTCACTAACATAGTGTGTTCCTGTGAACTCGTACATGAGTCGCTTTGAGGTCTCCTCCATCACTTGCAGCTGTTCTGCCATGGTGTTCAGTTGGTCATTCACAGTCTTGCCTCTGGTCCTTGGGGTCACTTTCTGCTGAGTCAGAACGCCACGTGTAAGTGCCGACGAATCTCTGAAAGGAATCCAATAACCTTTAAATGTTTTCCCTTCAATCAACTCTATGACGTAAAAACAGCGACGCGACCACTCGATTAGCAAAAAATGTGACTAGCATTGAAGCGTTTAAAGTATATAAGGAGCATCGCTCCATGAGATTATGATCATATGAAACTTTTCGAAGTGGCCAGTTTTTGAAAAAATGGATATCTTTAGTCAGCCGTTTTGAAATTAAAGAGCTCTGTCAAAAAGCGCCCTAGGGAATTTTACGGAAGAAAAAAAGCGTTTTTAAGCAGCAAAGAGTTTTCGGCGGGCGCTCCTCACACCCAAATCTATGCAAAAAAAACTGCGTTTTTCGAGGGTTACTGCATAATTTGCACTATTTTTTGAGCATAATGTTTCAAAGATTACTTCAACGCTTCCCTCTCCTCTGTTTGGTCTTTCAGAAATAAAAATTCATTCTGATAAATTATTTGATCAAAATGCTCGAAAAACGCTGGAAAGTCCAATTTTTGTTACAATAGTTAACAAGAAATTGTTGTCCGGTTTTTAATCTTTATATTTTTGGAAATGCATATCAGTGAAAAGATACACTGATTAATTGTTAATAAAAGGAAATTAAGGTAATTCATTAAGGTAATGTAATGTAGAAATAATGAAATTTGAACTATTAACAATTTGCGTGACGTTAAATGGCGTAAGCAAAGATTTTGTGTTGGAAAGCAACGACTTTGGCAAAATAAAACACTGAAAAATAAAAAAAATATTCTGTTTAGATTGGATTCGACTAACGTAAAAAACCAATTCTCGGATGATTAAAATGCTTCATGTAGATTTTAAAGCTTATAATAATAATAATTTTTAGACGAGAAAAGAATAAGCCGAAAAAGCCAACTGGAGAAGCCGCTTAAATTAAATTAAAATAGCTTCATCTTCCAATATCCTCTTCTCAAGATACAAGACTCATTTCACTTACTCTTTCGAATGTTTCTGCAGATCCATTTCAGCAAACACCTTCTCAGTGAAACGATCGCCCCCTGTATTCTCTTTTGAGTCATCCTCTTCATCTGTATCTCTAGGCGTCTTTCTCGGAGTGACAAATGGTGAAGTAGCCATTTCAGTTGTATAAACTTCTTGTCTTTGATCATTCGTTTCCCCTCTGGGAGTTCCAAATCTGGGCGACTTCCCAGCATCTCTCGGAGTTCTACTTTGAGCATCCGAACTGGGCTTGGGACCCTCTCTCAACTCTCTCACTATCTGCCAATGCAAGTCAGCGTAGCTACGAGGCTGCATTGATTCGGAGTCGTACAGGCTGGATGTTATTTCTGGAAGGCCTTCCATATTTTTCTCCTCAATATCCACTACGCTTAAGAAGTCCTTCTGAAAACCAACACTCTCGACGAAACTTATTAAACGGTGGGTTTCAATATTGAAACTTATTTCTGTGAGGAATTTAAATACTCATTCAGAGGCTACCACAAAATAGTTTTCGTAGAAACTTGAATCAAAACACACCTTATGCACGTGTGGGAAGTGTAGATTGACAAAAATCTCTGGTGGAATGGCCGCTCTATTCGAAGCGTGACCTTGAGACGTCTCTCCTCTTTTAATCTGCTCCACTGTGAGTGCCCTCGGACTCGGGGGTTGCTTCTCGTGAACAGCTGTCTGTGTCTCTGTTTCTTTCCTCGCTTTCTTGGGAGACGGGAGGGGAGACGTGGTTGCATCTTGCACTTTTGAAACGAACAGAGGGTTAATTTAAATTAGACTGCAGTAAAAAAGGAGCGCAATCAGAAAGTAATGACTGTGTGATAACACAGCACCAACACTAATATGTGGCCTCGTAATACAACAAGCTTTAAGAGTAGTCAAAAGCCACTGATTGCACGGGTCTTTGACATAGTGAGTTTTTTTTTTTTCACGCGCACTCAATTACCTCAAAAAAGGTTATAAAACCTGAGATAAACCAATTTTGAAATCCAAACAATTGTACAATTATGGAGAGAAAAAAGTTTTCAAATTTTGATTTTTAGTCTAAATTGAAGCGATTAATGCGAGCGAGCAAGCTTACAATAGCTCATTTTTGCGCAATTTAGGAAGTGAAAACTTCTGAAATTAAGCACTTTAGTTTGTATTTTTTAGACTATGGTCGGAACATTCTGTTCTACTTGCACAGTAACCGGCTATCCTTGTTACAGTAAGTGATCAAAACATTCTGAGATACTTGCTCAGCAGTCAGCTTATATGATTCTTAGAAAGTCTTACTTTTGGGGTCTTCTACTTCAAATGACAGGTTGTTAAATTCATCTGTAATTTCCTTGTCTTCATCGTCAAGTACAGTATCCTCCTCCACTTCGCCATCGTAAGGGCTAACAACGGTGACCGATTTCTAAAAATATTCAAGGCTAGTTGAGTTTGCAAATTATTTCAGTCAATACCATGCCATCGCAATTATACAATTTTCATTCAATAGGTGCAAGTTGATGGTAGAAATAACGTTTCAAGTAACTTTGTTCGAACAAACTTCACACCTCGGCCATGCGAAAAAAAATGAAATCAAAAAAATTGTCTTGCAAATAAAAACTTTCCGAAGCAGAACTTTCGGGTCTTGCGCATCTTTTCCCCTCACTCGCGATCAACAAGCTATTTATTCATGATAGTATCTCAAGATGAATCTTCGACACTGATCATAAATTTTATAAAACTATTCACGTTTTGCAACACAAAGGCTATGACACTACTCAGATCACAATCGGGAATTCTACATCTAACGAGCTACAGCGACATTCGAAAAAAAGGACCCCAGAAAAATATACCTCATCCATATTAGACTGATTTGTATTCTCGGCTTCTGGGGACGGGAGCTTGAAATCAAAGTTTTCAAATAACTATGTGCCCATTTAAATAAGAAAGGGTAGAAACCATAAATCATTAGAATGCAGAGGAATTGGCTAATTCTAGCATGCTTCAGAAATATACTTACATTCACTTGAACTCCCATCGAATGCTGCAAGTTAAATAAAAGCAACTACTATTAATTAATCTTCTTTTAGATATATTGCCCGTCACTATTCAAGAATCGATTTTAACGCTAAGCAGCATGTGAAAACCTCATTGCACTTTTGAGAAAACAATCCGACGATAAATTTAAATCGAAACATGAAATAAGTTATTACCACTAAAAAGTTATGATCAACAATCTGTTAAACTTATATCGAAAACCAAGTTATTACCACTAAAAAATTATGATCAACTATATACAAAAAGTGAAATTTATTACCAATAAAAAATTATGACCAACAATCTGTTCAAATAAGTATTCCAAACACAGCTGGCAGCCTTAGTACTTACCTTGAATTTGACATGTTCGTGTGGTTCTGTCGTGCTCGCATGATGGTCCTTCAGAATAGGCCTCGGGGTTCTCGGAGTCTCCTCTAGGGTTCTTTCTGACTTCGCCTGAGGCACTAGCGCTTCTTCCACCTTCACTTCTTTAACCTTCGGTGTCTCAGGTCTAGGAAACACATTAATCGTTTTTTCTAAGCTTTAAATGCGCTACTGGATATAATTTTATTTATTATTTAGGAATTTCGCTTCAAAGTAGCAAAGAATGATCTCGTGTTAATACATTCGGGTATCAGTGTTTGAAAAATCACTTTTTAGCCTCTTCATATAGCATTTTCAAACAAAAACATAGCAAGACTTGGTACAAAATTTAAAGATCACCAGGACTTTATTCACGCTAAATTGGAATACAAAAACTATACGTGGAAATGGAACAAAAAATTTTCGGAATCTTATGACAATTACCTTTTGACCTCGTTTTCATTCTTTTCATCTTGCAATTCGGCGTGAAGAAGTTTCACTTTAACTTCGTCTTCTGTCGGAATCAACAATCCTCCATCTCTTGGCGACATTTCGTTCACAGTTTCAGAACCCGCAGTAACCCATGCTAGTCTCTGTTGCCGCCCTCTATTCTGTGCATTTAGCAACTGCATTTTTCTATGTTCATGAAACTTTTCTAATTCATCTCTACTCGGGAGAATATTAACTAACTGCTCATTTGTTAACTGATTCTCGTCGTTGCTATTCGGCTGCAACAGAAACGGACTCCCTCGATTCATTGGCGGTTGGTATCCGAATGCTGGCATACTACCGTGATGATAAAACGACGAATTCATATAATACGGATCAGGTTCCAGGAAACCATGATGATATCCGTGCTGCGGCTGAAGATTCGTGTTTACATTCAGTAGTGGAATTCCTATACTTTGAGGATGAACTTGTTGTTGGTAAAACTCAAATTGTCCCGAGGGATTTTGCTGTTCGGAAAAATTCGAACGCCTGTCTTTTTTCGATTTTCTTCCGTGTTTTTTGTGCGATTTCTTCCCTCTTGGTCGACCAAAGTCTGCCTCGTCTTCGAAGTTGTAGGAAGGAGCTTCGGATGACAGGTTAAACTCGACACTGTTACCATGACGACGCGCCTGGTGGGACTTCCTAGGACTCTGAGAGGCGTAAGTATTGTCCATGGCTCCCTAGAACATCAAAAAAAGATTAACATTGATCGAATTTGTTTCTAGATAAATAAAGAATAACATTTGATCGAAAACTGAAGAGAAAAGACAAGACAAACTAATTAAAATGTAACAAGAAAATTTTAGATACACAAATCCACCGAAAACTTCCAACGAACAAAAAATTTCGTTTTATAAATGATTTTGGATACTGAACTGCTGAAAACGGCACCTAATTACAGCACGAGCCGCCAGTTTTTTTTTACATAAAGCACAGAATGTTCCAAGAAAAACGGAATTAGTCAAAAATTAGAGATTTTTTCTCTTCAGTATTTTCCATAATTTTTTGTCGTTTCCATGGGCTGCTGAATTCATTCGAGACTAGCTTGAAAACATTTTCAGTGTTTTATTCATTTTTTAATTATTTGTAAAAGAAAACGATACTGCGAAAATTTAGAATCCAGCTTACGTTCAATGCTTGCGCTGTCTCTGATCTAATCAGTTTCCTCAGCGTATCCGCATCCACCATGATCGGCTGATGATTACTCATCATTGACTTGTTGTTTCTACCAGAATCCGGACTCTGCAGTAGCAATTGAGGATTGTGCCTCCTTAATTCATCCAGTCTTGCATCCAGAGCAGTCTCGCGACTTAAACGTATTAGTGTCTTTCGTCCAAGCAAAATAAATGAAAAATATCATATGCTAAAAATTAAACTGGTTTGTCACAATTTATCAACGTAGTATTACTTTTTCATGCATGTTCATTGTTCGTTCTTGTTGCTTTCATACACTTTTGACAAAACATTTGTTATACACATTCAGCTAGCAGAAAAAAAAACACTTTCGATTCGATGTATCATTCTATTTTGCCAGCCTTATTTTGACAAATAAGATTGCTTCAGAGAATAATATTAGACGATATCTAAGGTCATTGGTCAAACTTTCCTTGTATGACTCTAATAATCAAATAAACTAACAGTTCAGGCTGGTCAATTGACTGCAAAATTTGGTGTTCTGCGTCTGAAATCAACCCCTCGCTCAATTGATGCTGTTCTCCCGCAGCATTGTACTTCTCGTGGAAAGCCGAGCCGGGTGCTCTTGAACCTCTAGGCGACGACTCGATGGACTGAGTTACCGAAGGCAACGACGAGTCGTGAGCATTTTCGAACTCATTTCTCTTCATATTATTTGAGTGATTTGGATTTGTTCCGTTTGTTCGACCTCTTGAGTCATCCCGCTCGCCGCCAGTTTCGACGCCTAATCTCTCAATATAATACTGCGCGTTTATAGGCATTACAACATACAGTTGCTCTGATAGACGTTCAGGCCACCCGTTCCACGAGACTAAGTAGTTCCAGGAAGCGTTGGCTAACAGGTTTGGGGACACGTCCAGTTTTTGGAAGCCACTTGGTCGGGTAGAAGCTGTCAAACTTGAACTTGTGTTGTCGCGAGTCACCCAGTCACAGAGCCAGTTGAGACAACTCCAACTTCTAAAATAAAAGAGACAGCTTTTCAACTCCTACTCCTAAATTATTTACCGTACTTTTTTTCTGACAGCAAAAAAAAGCTCACAATTTTAGTCTTGACAATTATTTTGCTTATTTTAGGCTCTGTACATTTGTGTACAATTTTTGCCACCAATTGCTTCAACCAAAGGGACACTTCTTACTGCTCCCTCTACGTGTTTATTCAAGGCGTAATCTTAACGTGGCAAATATAAAACAGAGCCGAAGCTTCGCTTCGCAAACACTAGAAAGAACACGCCAAAAAGCAGCTCTATTATCAAGTGCAATAAAAAAGTCAAAATAAGCCTCAAATTAGTAAAAATTCCACACGGTCTCGGTTTCGATCCTGTGACCTAAGAATATAAGTCTCACGCACTAATCACTTAGCCACGGACGCTAAATAAATAATGAACACTAGTCACACATAAAGCAGAGAACAGATGCTATGAAACTTCCAATGCTACAGATTGTGATTATGGCATAAAGGTACAAACACAAGTGAACACTTTTAATGAACACTTTTATTTGGGAGTTAGTTTACAAAAAAGAAGGTTCGCACTAACACACTAGGCTGCTATCTAGTGTAAACAACTTTCAAAAACACCCACTTATCAATATGTTCGCTGTAGAACACTTTTCCAGACAACGTGATCGAATAGGAAATCTGTTCCTTCTGACTAATAGTCGCAAAATGCTCTTCGATCGTGTTGAACTTCTTGAACATCTCTTGTTCCATCGGTATGGTTGATTTGCCACCTAGTTTCTTCGCATCTGAGAAAGACATTTCTGTGAGAGCCAAAGTGTCGGCGAAACTTTTTGAAATTTGAAGACTCAGAGAATCTTCATCTTCATCGTCATTTTTTCCACGCTGTTTTAAGGTTCGTTCTAAAATTAGAAATTACCGTTTCATTCAGCTTGTGACGCGATTTCACCATTTGCTAGTTAAGAACATTCAAATGGGTTCGTTCAGCAAAATTCAGATTTTAAGCACTTTATAACACTAGCACTTAACATAAAAGATGGAACAACTAGCAAATGGATGAATCTTTCGCTTGTATTTAAATCTTTCGCTTGTATTTAAATCTTTCGTTTGTATTTAAAAAACTAGCAAGAGCTCGATGACATTTGACAGATGAAACGTGACAAAACAACTATCTGTATAATTAATGCTGAAAATATTTGATAATAGTCTCATTAGAATTCCAAAATTCAGCTTCCAGTTATCAAGATCTATTTTGATGATCACTCACTTATCGCTCGGGTGCATACAGCCGATTGCAGATAATGTCTCATATTAGGAACCATCAGATCATCCAGCACCTCTCCTGGAGCCCCATTCTCTCCTCCCTTTTCAGCGCCCAGATGCTTTTCCACTTGCTTAGCATACGGTATCAACACTGGTACATTTACCTGTGTTTTTCCGCTGTTTGATCTGTTAGTATCATTGGCGAGCATGATGTCGACACACGTTTCTAGGAAGGATAGATATTCCGGGGTCAGCTCGAACTCTAGCTGACCGATTTCGGGAAAGTCCGTCTGGTTGAAGAACAGATCTGAAACATTTTTAATTTCTGACCACCATAAAATTTGAGTTATGAATCTTCAATAGTTATGATTAACAATTTAAAGTGGTGAACTCTAAATCAATTATCAGGGGAGTCCAAAACTATCGAGTGGGTACTATACATCTGATGGCTAGTTGCTTAAATGGTGGATCCATTTAGTGTACATGGTTTATGGAAAAAACAAAACTCAGGGGGTCTGAATAATTATGCATTTGAGTATTGTAATTTGAATTTTTATTCTGTAGCCACCAGACAGTTTTATATGGAGCCATTAAAACTTCCACTAAAATCTGGGAACAAAAAATGGTGTGGACACATGCAAGATATCATCTTGCGTATCGCGACTAGTTATCAATCCATCACCTGCAACGATGAGTCCATTTTTGATCATGTAACTCCTTTTGGCTCTCTGTTTGTTCACAAAGAGTGTGAAAACCTCCCCTGCTGGAAGGTCAGTTTGGCAGTTTAATCGCAACATCAGTTTCTTGTACTTCTTCTCAAGGATGAACGGCACCTAAATATTTTACTAATCTTAGTTTCTTTCTGCTCAAATGCAATCCCAATAATCACAAGCTTTCGATAAAAACTTCTTTTAATTATTAGCTGCCGCCACAAAGTTCGGCCAATTATGAAAGAACAAAGACCAAATGACGATCTATCTGATGTCTAAAACTATAGCATCAGAACCAATTTTCACATGTTCTATCTTGAAAAGAGAACTGCAGTTAAGAAAAAAAATAAAAATGCAGCTTAGGAAAGTTGCTCTCACTAATTTAGCAGTCCTCGTGATGCTTACAAGCATCGCCCCTTACCGGTGCTAAGCTTCTTTTCAATTACAATACGCTTACAGATTACAAACTGATGACGTTTATCATCTGGACTTACAATTTGGTTCGAGGTGAGATCGTAGTCTGCGTGTGAGAGAGCGAACAGGGATGAGTCGAACACGAAGGAGTCCTCGGTTTCTTCCAGCATGAGACTTGCCCTCGGCTCCACCCTCTTCGGCTGGTGGAAAACTGTCGCCATAACTCTCACACTCCGCTCATTCACCGGCATCTACAACCATAATATGCTCAAAATTTTAAATTACCCAACCGAAGAAAATTGAATTTATAAACAATGCTAACAATGAGTTCTAAACGTTTATCAAATCAATAAAACAGTTTTTTCCATTTCGATTAATACAACCCTTTAGTTTAATCTCAAAACGTCCATTTCCATTCAGTGTTTTTCAAACTTGGTCGACATTTTAAAAAATTTCCCCCAACATTCGTTTCTTAACACCTCCAACATCTGCATATGCGAAAAGAAATTCTTATATTTTTGTCAAAACATATAACTACAACAAAGGTGATCTTTATAGCTAAGCTAACCTCTCTATACACTGTTTCAGTACTTACGCTTCGGAATTCGAGGCGCTAGTTGTAATCGAAAAAGTGACAGCACATTTTTACACAGAGTCGAAGTTGCACTTCGCATACACAAGCAAAAAGATGACCGAAAACTCTACTGGAAAACTGAATGAGTAAAAATTTGAGTCTACAAAAGTTCTCGAGTCACGCACGCCAATTATGACGCATTAGCAGTACCAGTCAATTTGAAAAAAAATCCATTTATCACGCCTCAATTTATAGAGCAGTCTATGGAGCAGTAATAGCATGAAAAAAAAAACGTAAAAAAAAAATAAAATGAATTTTTTAATTTGAGATTTTTTGTGAAAATCATCCCCCACACACGCCATATTAAGTACAAAGTGTCGCTCCTAGTTACAAATCAATTCTGGCAAATAAGCTTCCTTCAACTAATTTGGAACGATTTCTATGACGGATTAAATCTCCCCTTACGCATTAGTAGCCCGTCACAAAATACCGTTTAAAATGGCTTGTTAAAAAGTCGAAATTTGTCTGAAAAAACATTTCGAGTACATATATTCCATTACTTTCGTTCGAAAGTCGGAACAATAATAGTCTGTGTTAAAATCCTTAGCATTGACTGTACTTAATAGCTGATTATTGATCAAAATGAAAACTTTCAAAATAAACACATTTTATCGCAACATCATTCGCGTCGCAACAATATTTCGGTTGGAAAAAAAAGGTTGGACTTAGGTTGGAAAAAAAAGATCGTTCATACTATAACACAAGCATTGCTTGTGTGAAGCAGAACGTTAATACAAGTTTGTTAAATCATATCTAATCATAGGCTCCAATATACACTTATACATCGTAGGCTCCAATTTAAGGGCAGCTCGCGCCAAAAAAAACGCAAATTTTGGCCAATGAGCTGTCATACCCGTTAGTATGCGCGATCTTGAATACTGAATCCGAACGGATTGGCTAGGTAACTCTGTAGGACAACTAAGAGAATAAATAAGACAATTGATTCTTAAAACAGTTTATTTCTCTTCTGGAGCCAATTCACTAAACTTAATGTTTAGCCTTGTCTCTCAAGGTCACTTGACCAGCTCAACGCAGTGAGCCTAATAAAAACTATATTTAAATTGCCAATCCGGCCAAATGATATTCCCCCTCTCAACAAAAATAAATATGTATGTATCAAATTGAGTTTTACGTCCCCTTAGGACCTGAGTTCTTACGTCCCCGTGGGACTGAGTTGAGATTTTAAAGTTTTTCTGCTGTTATCTGTTCCTCTTTGTTTGCCTTCTCTTGGTGCTCTTCGAAATTCGCTTCCTCCACATTTTGTACGTTTATCACCGATAGTACTTCAAGATTTTCAGACGATTTTTCAGGGGTTTCCGCGGGAGATACCAGATCTACTATTTGAGTCGTGCTGGTTTGATGTTTTGGACGTATTGCGTCCAGGAATGTTAGACAGGCTTGGTATTCGGGCAATTTTTTGTGGAAACCATCTCTGTGATGAGGTTCTTGAGGCTTGGTGACCGCTGATCTGGAGTTTTCATTGTTTGGCTGCTTGTTTGTTTATCTGAAGGTGAATCTATGGAGAATTTCTTGGTTGGAGATTGTAGAGTGTCCTCTACTGTATGTATCGGGATCGGATTTCCCAATGCGCCGACAAGTGTTGATTGTCTGGCCCTATTTGACCTGCGTGTTGGTTTTAATTGCTTAGATTGATGTTGTTTCGACTCTGGAGTTGCCTTTTGATTAACCCTCTTGGGTGTAGGGGCTAGATTTTCCGAGGTGGAAGATCCCGAAACCGTTGTTGAGCCTGATGTGGCCGCACTCTCTTTCTCTCCTCTCTGGTCCGTTTGGAATTCCATCCCTCGTTTCGGCGTTTTTGGAGTCGGTCGTCCCCCGGTTCTTTTTCCCATTGCTTTCCGTTTTGTTGTGCTGTTCTGTTGTTCTTTCCGTGTCAGCTTCACGGGTATACCTGAGGCGTCATCTTTAAACATCGGGACAATAATAGTCTGTGTTAAAATTCTTAGCATTGGCTGTACTTAATAGCTGGTTATTGTTCAAAATGAACACATTGTATCGCAACAATATTCGCGTCGCAACAATATTTGCGACTTAGGTTGAAAAAAAAAGATAGTTCATACTATAACACAAGCATTGCTTGTGTAAAGAAGAACGTTAATACAAGTTTGTTAAATCATATCTAATCGTAGGCTCCAATATACACTTAATTAAAGGGCAGCTCGCGCCAAAAAAAACGCAAATTTTGGCAAATGAGCAGAAAGTTTTGACAAAATAGGGCAAAATATTTCACCCTCGACAAAAGCATAGATGCTCCCCTGTCTGTTTATCTAATGATATCATAAACATAACCTCATACTAAAAACTTAGTTAGCTTTTGAATGGTTAATTTACCTGCATGAACAATGATATGAGACAATCTATGAGTGCGATTTCCTCCCCCATGAACTTGGCGAATGGCAGTAGGAAGTTTGCCCAATGGATTGCCGCCTCCCATGAATCCCAGATCGCGTCGTCGAAAACGCCGGTATCGTCGGGCGAACGGTCCTGTAAAGTAAAACAATGACTGTTAGGATAAACCACAAGCAAATCAAAATTACACATCCAACTGTAACTATTTTTTAAAGGAAAATGAGCCCGATAAACATGAAAATTAGCCGTGTTGTAGCGTGCCATTTGAACAGGTTTTTTTCAGCCCAATGAGCAAATTTGAGCACGCACACTACACTTTTACCAGAGCTAGTATCATAAAGAAACCACAGGCCTTTTACAATTTAAATTTAGGCCTTGGCAAACAACTTTGAAAAATAGAGGTTTGAAAAATTAAATATAGGTTTGAAAAAATTATGGTTACATTAACAAGTGCCGTGTAGTTTTGGTTGTATGTTCGGATGGCCTGGTTAAATTGGTCTCTGCAATGAGTCATCCACATGACGAAGAGAGTGGACCTCAGACACCGAGTGAGAGGAGTGTACTGTTTTTCGTCCAAGAGGGAGACATCCACCGCTGAACTCACTCGAGAGACCAGTACTTCTGGAAGCTAAAAGGAAAGGGATATTATTAGATATTTTAAAATGGCACCTTTTTTTCTCGCAATTTTTCTCGAGATAACAAAAATCTTGCAAAAAGAAAATTTTCGTTAACTCTTGAAAATATTGACAGTATTTCCACAAATATTGCAATGGGCATGGAATTCATTACGCAGGGATTCATTTCTAGGTTTAAAATTTGTAGACCATTTAACTATACCATTTAACTAACTCTATTTATGCAAAAAAAATCCTAAGTGGGTACGACAGAAAGACATATCTAAGAGACTTGATGGTTATACTTGAGAACATTGGACACTGTCAATTCGAATGATATTAAGGCATCTCAAAAAGTTTCAGTGATGCAGGGTACTTAAACTTTATGGCTCCACGGTATTGTCAACTGATCCCTCCCATATAAATTCGAGTATTAAAATTTCCTTTTGCGCCACATATCCTTCTTTTATCCTATAAATTTTATTTGGTTCACATATCCTTCTTTTATTTGGTTTAACTTTTAATTGGTCTATAAATTTTATTTGGTATACTTTACAACTGAAAGTACTCACTGTTTGTTTTGTTTTCGTCAACTTCTTCTGTACTTTTAGCAAGTAATGCTTCACCAGAAACTGGTCACAATTTGCAGCTTGCATTGACACTCGCAAGACATACATCAACTGCTGCAAAGTCCTTCTCACCAAATCCTCCTCGCTTTCTGATTGATCAGTTGCACTTGGTGGCATGAACAAAGGAAGAGAAGGGAGCGAAATGTTTTCCGGGATGAAAAGATTGAACGAGCTCGCTGATAATAATACACGAGAGGTCAAATCGTCAACCAAAGCAGGCATAACATCGACGCCACAGACAATTCCCAGTTGGAAAAGATCCCCCAATTCCTTCATCGCTCTGACAATTTGGTCGGTTTGCGTCAGGGACATCAAGAATGCTGAAAATAGTGAATTTGACAAATCTACATACATCCTTTTTTTTATTTCTTTAGACTGCCGGTGAAAAATAATACACGAGCATCAGCGACCATAAGTCGAAAATTCCTTACCTTGAGAATCGAATAGTTTCTGAAACTCCTGGGTTAACTTCAGGACATTCTCACGGGGATCCGCCAATTGATAAGCTCTAAAACGTAAATTTAGAACTCGACTCGCATTTGGACTGATCAAATCGATGATTGAATAAAAACTACATTTCAAGCTGTACGGAAACCTTCAGTACCATTTTTCTCGATACCGATAAACATTTTTCTATTTCGCCCATGCAGTCTGATCTACATTCAGAAGGGCTTTCATACGCAGAGGCGAAACGGAGCTTCGTATCACCTGCGATACAATGCAAGCGCAGCAATGCAAGCTAGCGAATAGAAAATGAGGCGGAAATAACATCGAAAACAAAGTTTGGGAAAAATGAAAATAATTTCAGAAAAACAGCCGAAAACACACCCACCAGTATTGTATAAGCTTTTAGCATTTACTGAGCGGCTTCTAAGCTGACAACAATGGGTAGACAACAAAAAATGTCCTAAAAACTGCCATACAATTTTTAGCTATTAAGTTTCAAAACTTTGAAATCTTGCAACAGACACATGAATTTTTTTAAATGATCACTTTTCGCCCTTGAAGCGGCACAAAACAAGGTAACTAAGCCAATAACATAGCCAAATGCCAGTTGGAAAAGAGTATTGAATGCAAGTAAACAGAACAAAATACTACTTACTTTTTCATGTAATAAAACATAAAACCAAATGTAAAAATTATGCATTTCACAAAAATTGTGAGATACATTGAGTTGGAAAAAGTTCTGAAATGGGGCTTTTTATCATTGTATTGCTGTTTGAACAATTAAATTTTTTCGCTTCATTTGATGATTTAAAAATGCATCAACTGTGTTAAATTTTTACGAATCAAATGTTAGAGCACATGACATTATACTGCTACCGCAGCCTACCGATTCAAAGTGCCACCAAAATTAGCACTTTTATTTGCGACTTAGGTTGAAGAAAAAAGAAGTTTCGTACCAATACACGCATTTCACAAGTGGAAAAACTGAATCAATAGGTAAAGTTCTTATTCCACTGGAAATCTAAGAACTAAACTCTACTTTCGAATCTAGAAATCGCGTTATTTCCTTGTTCAAATTTTGAGAGTGCTATTTAAGTGAGATTCAGCAGATGAATTTCAATTGAAATCAAAAAGTGCATTTACACCTAAGTGCATTCATAAATGCATTAATATGTCTGAAGGCACATCTGAAGGCAATATGTCTGAAGGCACAAAAAAAATTACCAAGACCTATATAAGAGTCACTCCGTCTAAGGGAAAAAGTCACCACGTTCATTACTCTTAAAAAATATACCGTAACCATTTAGGCCGAATAAAACTTTAAGCGAAAAAAAAGAATAGAAAACAAAGGAAAATATACAACGAAGGGGTATCGATTTACAGGAGTAAACCAAGATTACTTGCATCTACGATAGAAATTGCTGACATCACAAAAAAGTACCCGATGTGGCAACTGAGCCGATAAAACATAAGCAGGCAGACAAGAGTCCTACAATTCAATTTTTGCCAAAAAAAAAAACATTTCAATTTCATCAATTCTGAAGAAAAAAAAACGAGGTCCGACTTGGACTCGAACCCCAGACTTTAGGGTAAAAAGGCATTCACGTTATCTCTACGCCAGGCGGTAAAATGCCTCGAAGCCACTAAGGTTCAATAATAAAGCGAATTCACAATTTCTTACAAATATGTAAGAAAGGTTGTTTACGTAAAAAAGTATAGGCCCGATTACAAGACACTTGCTCTCACAAGTGTTATCATTATCCGTCATACCTCGATCAAACCTGATGTTTCTCTTTGAGGTATTTCTTTTAACAGATTACAGCCGAAGCATAATTTACCTGTTATCATTTAGTTTGTACGCCGCGCATAAAACAGCTATCGACAGTCTATTGTTTCCCATGAGTTGACAGAACTTCGCTGCTTCAGTGAACAAACCACATACGAACATAAGCGACAACGCCAACTGAGGCGATACTAAAGAAGATAACCTCCACTTTTTAATTGCCGAAGCAATTTTCAACCTGGCTAAAAACACTTTTCGTCCTTCAAATGACTTCTCCGCATTTTCGTCCAACAGCGACTGCAATTCAATTGCACGATGCGATGGGTAGACGAATAGTTTCTGGTTGGCTAAGAAGTAACGTCCTAGGAATCTGGCGACTGATCGCAGCGCCGATGTCCTATTTTGCACTATTGTGAATTCGTCTTCCGTAGAGTGACCGAGTTTAGGCCTTGATTGAGATGCAGAAATGGAGAAGAGCACTGGAATGTACTTCATGTTTCCTTTGTCGTTGGCTACCAAGTTGACGAACGAAATCTGGAGCAAATGATTATGAAGTGAACTAACTCTTTAATAGAAACAACAAGTTTTTCAATACCTCAATTTGATTAAGAGCTAGCATAGATAAACAAGTATAACCGGTTACTGAGTAAGTAGCACAATATGTACCGACCTAAGTCTTAAAAAATACAACAAAAGTTTTTACTAATTAGCGTCGTTTTTTCTGCGTGCGGTGATAAAAAGATCTCAACGAAACAAAAGAACTAAGGCAAATTCGACAATCATAGTTAAACTGAAAAACAGTTTTTGCAAAAAAAGTTACTAGAACAAAAAAACGCCTTTAATTTTTTTCCAATTTTTTTTGCAGAAATTTTCCCAAAATGGCGCTAAAAAATTTCAAAAACTAACTATACTCGAGTAAAACTATATTTTCACGGCTTAAATTAAGCATAAATAAGCTATTGTAAGCCTGCAAGCTCACTTATTAACTCGAAATTAGATTAAAAAACAAAAAGCTCAAGCCGGTTCTTCTCGATACTGAGAACAACTTTTAAAAACTATTTTAAAGTCGGTTGTTTCATTCCGATGATTATTTATGGTACCGAATTTTGCGCTGAAAACAAAAAAACTAAAACACGCCCGAATACAAAATTCCTTCCATTTTAAATCGTCGGAACAAAAATACAAAATCTCAGATTTGGCGGGGTTTGATGAGACCGTCTTTTTTCGAGAAAGTCAAAAAGTTTCAAAAAAACGGTGAAAACCAAATAATTGACTTTTCCAAGGACCATTATTTTGTGGGAGAAAATGGGCGTAGCCGCTCATGCAGGAGAACTACACACAACTTGTTCTTTAGATTGAACCAAATATCTCAGATTCAGGAGGGATTTTCGAATTTCCAAGAAAATAAATATGGGCTTAGATTCGAATTTTTAGAACAATTTATGATTGACACTTTTTTGATAAAATTAACCCAACTTGAGATAACTGGATCACAAGATCAAATTTTTGTTTTGCTGGGAGATCTGATAATTAAATTCCATATTTGAAATTAGATGTCGATAGTGGAGTTTGCTTTGCTTTTAACAAAGGAAATGAACTCAACACAAATCAAAAGTAAAACCGGGAAAAATTAAATTTGAGCCTGGACAAGTTTCACTGGAAAAAAAATCATCGCAACCTATATAAGAGTCTGAATTTCATTCGTCGTCTCTTAAAAAAGGAACTTTCCATGGGTCATAACTTTTCGTTTAAAATATTAGGGCGCAGCCGCTTATGCAGGGGAGCTTCCCAAAACCCGTCTTTTCTAATGAAATCAAAATCTCAGATTTGAAAAGGGCCATAACTTTTTGTGTAAAAAAAATTGGGTGCAGCCGCTTATGCAAACAAGGAGATTCCCAAGACCTGTTCTATACATTGAAACCAAAATATCAGATATAGGGTGCCAGTTTTCGAGAATATGACAAAAAAACAGCGGTCAAAAATTACCCCCACTGACTTTTTTGAAGGTTGTCGAAAACAGGTTAAGGTAAAAAGCAATAATGGGATTATGCATGCACACAGGGGAATGGGCGGATATTCCATTGCCACCTTTTTTGAAAATTGGTTCAGAAAAAAAATTCTAATAATAATTAATAATAAAAAAAAAAAAACTTGATCCCATAAATTTTCATAGTATCTGTTTTTATCAAGCAGGAATTTGATCTGAATTATCAAAACTTATTTTTGAATCAAAACTTTGCTTTAACGCCAGGTGTCAAGATTGGGCGAAACTATATCTGAGAACATCTAACTAAACTGTTGATATGACGACTGTAAATGAACTTACCGGAAACTTCTTCAAATTATCCGTCATCAACAACTCCGGCATATTCTTCACAGGTACGAGAGTATCTTCCGGTGCAAAGTAACAACTCACACAATTGTCGATCAGCTGGAGAACATTCTTTATGTCATAATTCTCCAAGAAGAAATACAGCATCGACAATGTCGAATTACCTAGTTTATCCTCCGAATTTAACTCGGAATCCGTTTTTATACCTCGTTTTTGGTACTCCTTTGTTATGCACCCTATGCGCTGCTTGTAGGGAATCGTCGTCTCAACCATTTTTCGTGCAATTGAATCTGGCTCAGCCGAATCGTGTAAGTACTTCGGTTCGATTCCTGCTTTGGTCAAGGTTTTTTGAGAGAATAGCAAGTAGTCCATAGTTTGCTCACGTTGTACTTTTGAAGCGACGTCTTTGAGAAACGTGAAAGCAGCTAAATATTGGTTCTTCAGGTCTGCAGCCCGGCTGAAATAGATTTTTTACTTACCGGCGTGCTACCTACGGTGGTTCAAAACACTATCAATCCTGAAAAATGCTTCCTAAAATACTTTATAACCATAATAAAAAATTTAATTGTCTTTACGAAAAATGTAGCATAAAATCCTAAAACAAAGACCGGCCTAACTCATCAGCTCTGTATATTTTCGCATTTCAGAAAATTACAGAGGCGAAGCCACACTTCGCAAACAAGCTTAGTAGCTCAAGGGAACTTTAAAATCCAAATTACGAAAACCAGTTTTGGAAAAAAACTTCAACCCACAGAACGCGAACCTCCAACCCCAGCGCTACAGATGAAAACCAAGTTGCCAACCGCATGACGTGGTTTACCTTGCCTCTCCAAGCCCGATTGCAATTATCTTGTTTAATCTCATGAAACTTAAAGTTTCGAATAGACTCAAAAATCTATAACAGAAACATATCCAACTGACAGTTGGAAAAATTTCATAAGATTAAACTCAAAAATCTATAACAGAAACATATCCAACTGACAGTTGGAAAAGAGTAATGAACGCAATGAAACTGAAACAAAACTGACTTTTTTTAAAAAATCTTCAACATTTGAATTTCGAAGAAAACATAGATGGCTTTAAAGCTCTTTGAATTTGTAGAACAATTTATGATGGACACTTTTTTGTTAAAATTAACCCAATTTGAGAAAACTGGATCAACAGGCAAAACTTTTATTTCACTGGGATATCTGATAATTAATTTCCATTTTCGAAATTAGAAGACCATTACATTTTTCGAGACCTTTACATTTTTGCTGTTCGATAGTGGATTTTGCCTTCCTTTTAACAATGGAAACGCACTGAGCTTAAAAAGAAATCTTAATTCAAACTGCGAAAATCAAAAATGAGCGTAAACAAATTTTAAGACTTTTCCTGAAAAAAACCTAACAAAAAAATCAGCAAGACCTATATAAGAGTCGTCACCACGTTCATTACTTTTAATAACTTTTTTGTTCTAATGGTGCATTTTTAATACTGATAGAACTAAAATTCTTACCGTTAAAAAAAAGTAAACAACTCACCTGCCATTGACTGATACTTTACATTTCACGCCGCTCAGAGGAACAACTTGCGCCTTCTCAATCTGTTGATTAATCGCATTACTCAGCAATCTCATCTGCAACTTGTTGCCGAAACTTTTCTCAGTTGACGAATAAACTTGACACACGTTCATCGAAATATTCGTCAACAGACAGTATGGAACTACTTTATTGGCATTCGGCGTGAAAAGAGCGACGAAGAGAATGTTAGCAACAAGTCGTGAAATTAGAAAATGGAGCACCATTTCTCGTTTGAAGTCAAACTGACCAGCTAGATAATCGTTTGTTTTGGCCACAATGCAGAGTAACTCTATCATTTTTCTTACAGAAGCTAGCACTTTTTCGTTATCATTACAATTAGCACGGGCATTGTTATTCGACAAAATTCGATCGTACTCATAAGGAGAAACAGTTTCAGCTTTTAGTTCGAAATAGCCATACATCTGTGACAACTGCATTAAGGCAGCGTTTAGTAGATTTATCAGTTGGCTATCATCATCCTGCAAGCTTTGATAACTGCTGACTCTGTTCAACGATAAAGTACTGGCGTTTCTCCTCGACATGATGGTATCGTTACTTCCGATGTTACCCAAGTAATTCTCGTAAGCGGCGACCAGGTCGGGAATCGAACTGTTGTTGTTACCAACCGAAAAACTTCTCGCGATCCGCATCGCATTTTCGGACACTGCTGTGCTTCTTGCTCGTGGCCTTTTCGAGTCTTTTCTAGGGGACGCGACTTTAATAGACGCTTCCAAAGACTGCAGCAAGTCTTCTGTTTCAATGAAAAGCGAGTCAAAAATAGCGGCACTTAACGAGAGCGATTTGTCGAGGATATTAAATCGAAATATTGAAGCATAGAACCCGTCTGTAATTACAAACAGGTCATCAGGACCACTATGCGTTCGAATCAGGAACTTCTGCTTGCTGCTTAATCCGCTATTGCTGAAATCGCAACCTCTGACTTTATTTAAACCATCAGATTTTAAAAAATATATTTCATCCAAAAGGAAAATTTTTGTTCAGGAGACTCAAGCCACTGACTTTTGAATATACCGAGTTTGCTTCAAGCTTGAGAACTTTTAATGATATAATTAGCGGTTAGAAAAGCAGAGAGGAGACAAAACTGACTATGAATTTCTTTGACTATTTCCACCCCCTATGGTACCTAGTAGCGTGTCTCCCCCTTTGCAATAGAGAGAGGGAGGAAATAGTTAAAAACATCGCACTTTTAAATATAACGATGATTAAAAATTGGACCAAAATACCTTGCCGGCAAAGACAATACATGCAGATACATCTGAGCATCAGCTGACAATTGAGAACAGTCCAATGACAACTGCTGTCCAAAAATAGTGAATGCACACAAGTTTCCCTCTTTAGTCAGAACAAGCAGCAAGCTTGAATCTGCAGAAAACTGCAAGGCTGCTAGTGAATGTGTCCTCGCACTTTTTGGTCTGTTTTGGTCCGACAATGTTTTCAGAGTATTTCCTAATTTCTCTCCCTGGATGGAACCAATATGCAACACACTTCCAATTTGTTTTGAACTGAGGGCACAAACTGCGAAGTAGTTAGCGTTAAGACTGATACAAGAATGGATTTGAGAAGTAGGCGAGCAGTCATGCGTGTCGATCTGCCAGCGTCTCTGACTAATTTCAATCCTAAATAGCCATTTGAATAATTTGAAAGGGTCTAGAATTCAACAGAAGTTGTCCATTCAACAGCGTTTTTCTGCCTTTTAAATTTGCGTTAATTATGCATCATTTAGTTGACTTTTCTGATACTACGAGCAGTAGCAAGCCGTTTGAGCAGTAGCGTTGTTCTGGTTGTCCAACCTTAATTTTTAAGTGCCTTGTCTTCGATGGCAACATGTATTAAATTTGAGGGGGCACAACTGGTCCAAATTTCTAAAAAACGACTATTTATATTTTTAAAAATGCCTGCGCCAAACACAGTCCTTCCTATGAAAATTTTGTTCCTTCCAATGTTTCGGCAGAATTCAAAAACTTCAAAACGGCTGACCTAAAAAAGCTCGACATTTTGCAAAAAAATGACCCTCCTTCAAAAATTCCCGCGCAAGCCACTGCGCGTAAGACAAGTCAAGTATCCAGTTAGCTCACGATACTCAAATAGGCTTCGATAAGACCACCAGCAGATTTAGGGGGCGGATTTCGACCCCCTTTTCTAAAGGCGCCAATATATACTAATTTTGAGGGGGGAGCGCGCGCCGAATAAACGCGATTTTTTTTGGTAGAAATTTTCCAAAAATTGCCTAAACACGCCTTTATTTGGCATGTTTTTTCAAAATTTTGCCTGCGGCGTAGAAAATTTGGTCAAAAAGGGGTCTTTATAGTGATTTAGGAGAGCTCAGAAAATCAATTTGGTCGATCTAAAAAAGGACAAATTTTTTTTGAAAATCCGCACCCCCCCCCTCGAGAAAATCTTAGATCCGCCCCTGTATAAGACTGAACTTGTTACTAAAAAAATAAGTTGCTCTAAATTTGCACACATAATGTGTTAAATGCTGCTGTGAAAATTATAATATGTGGCGCTTCCATGAACAGGATAGAGTGAACAGGATATATCAACAGGTGAAGTCCTGAGATTTTCTTCCAGGTTATTCACTCACTTGGATTGGGTGGCGAACACAGACACCTTGTTCACGACTATTGCATCTCGTACTGGTTGAAACACTAACACAATGCATCTGCACGAAGCTTCTTGCTCCTATATACAAAAAACCATCTCGTAACTTTTTGAGAACACGCGATTTCAACAGTTTGTATGAGTTTTGATAGGGCGGGTCAAAATATTCTCACAATGTGATGATATTGAATGTGCTCTTTAAAAGAGTTGAATGGTTTTCGGCTGGTAAAACTTATAACAAATTTCGAGTAGCATGAAAAGTATGATGGGATGGATGGTTCACCTCGTAAAAGCATGAAGAGACCGAATACGATTCACTTTCTGGTGAAATGGAGGTGTAAGCGAAGTTGTCTCTGCACTGTTCTCGTGTTTTGAGCTGAATGAAGTAGACATTAAGAGCGGCTGTCACAATCAACACAGACTGCGCCTCATTATCAGCTGCTAGATGAATTATTTCTGAAACAGGGAGACCTAATTTCACGCAAAACACTAACCCAGACATTTCTACTGGCTTAGAAAGTGTACTCCAATTGCTTGGAAAATGTACCCCATTTGATTGGAAAATGATTGGTATCGTAATTAGCGGATAAATATTTCAACGCCTTAGTTTTTGTTCAATTTCTTCAATCTATCATGTATACAAAACGGCAATTAAGAGTTTCTTTTTCTTGACTGGCGAGGTTATTCTTGTCACTTTTTAAATAAGGACAAATGATACAATGAGCAGAAAGACAGCCAATTAAATTAATCAAGGAACTTTTCCAGAGCATCCACGACCTATTCACTCAAACTTTTATAGATCAAAACAAGACTACTCGTATATAAGGGCAACGCCCTGAATGCTCCGACTTCATCTTAATCCCTATCGAATAGATTTTTGCGAAAAACAAACATTGAAAAACTATGAACATTGGACAATATCAAAGATCCAAAGTGAAAACTTGAAAATTAATACGACTGATTAGCTAGCCTCAATTCAATTTAGAACGATTAAGTTGTGCGCCACGAATAAATAACTCGCGTTACGCTTTCAGGATAAAATCTTCAAAGTGTGCATTAATTAATCCAGAGCATGGCCAAACTGGCGATTCTCAAACTTCCAAAACATTGCAAAAAATGAAGGTAGGAAAAATATCTTTTTAAATTTGATTTTAGGGAGTCGATATCTTCAATGGAGCATAAAAGTTTTTCGTTAAAAAAACTGTTATTCCGATCGCCAAAAATGACTGAATATTAAAAAAACCACACCGAGCATAAATAATCCGTTTTCTTCGAAAATCAGCACAAATACTGCAGTTTAAAAGTTCAGCCAACCGAAGATACATTTACAAAAACCTCAAGTATTGTTTTTCATCATGAAAAACGAAAACATCGATTTTACTTATAATTTTCATCAAAACTAATTTAAAAATTAAATTAAACACAGCTTCGCACCACATGCGATACCAGAACGCCGCTAAAATGGAAAAAAATGAAATTTTTCGAAATGACAACAAAACTAGATCTATGAATCAGGCTAATTTTGAAATGAAAACATGTCAGGACAAAAGAATGTGAATTTCGAATCGGAGGAAAAATTACGAAGCGGTTAAAAAGCCGAAAATAGCTTAGCAGAAACCTTTAAGACAAGAGTTAAGACTAAAAAACAAAAACCCTCATACAAAAACTATTAGCTGGTCAAAAACGCAATATGAGGCCACTAAGCCAATTTTATTTGGGCCCAAATTTATAATGCCGAGAAAAAAAGCCGAAAAAATTGCTGCCATGACAAACTTGAGCTAATATTTCTATAAATAATTTAGCAAGTTAGTGAGCATAGAAATATGCTTGCCTTGAAACGTCTCAAATTTAGCTCACCAAGCCAAAAAAACATACGCCAAAAACCTTTGAGCAGAATAAAGTTTTAAGCGACGAAATAAACAAGAAAAATATAAAAAGCCAAAAAATTACAAGCTGAAGTAAATCAAAAAATTAAAATCAACTACAATGTAAAATGCGAACAGCAAAAAAAAATTATACGATGTGGCACCTGAGCCGACAAAACATGAGCAGAGAAAAATAATAAGCCGACAATTTCGAACCCAGGAGCATTGCCTTCCAAGGCGATTTGTTACTTCCAGGCCAAGTGTGCCGGAGACGCAAAAAATTTTGAATTCAAATATGAACTAAACTTAAATCTACCATTTCTAATTTGGACCATTCATTTTTCAAAAAAAGCGTATTGTCCGGACTTAAATCCTTGCTCGTCGTTAGGCCAAGCATGAACGTTACCTCTACAACAATTGTGCAGAAGGCCTATGACAATGACAACTAAGCTGATAAAGCGCTGACCGATCAATATTTTTTCAAGCTAGAAAGAAACCTGGACTCCAGTAGAGCCAGTTCATTGCCTTCAGGCTAAACATGCATCATAAAAGGTAGAAGTTAAATTGATTATGAGCCAAGCTATCCAATGACTCGTGATCCTGCCTAAACTAATCATTAAACCTGAAAAAACGCCTGTGTCAATTTGATGATGCTTGCAACTCGCAAAGGTAAACATCTGATTCTTATTCAACTCGGAACGTTTATTTGATTCGAAAAACTGATACCAAGTAAAAACCTATCACGTTCACGCCATTTGAACTTCAACTATGTTCATGATAGTCATTTTTTAGAAAGTTATACCATAAGAAAACTGTACCAATAAGCAACTTTTTTTTTACCGCTGTGAAGTCAAAAAATTGAGGTCCGTTTTTGAATCTAGGGCTAAATTCACCTTGCGTTTTTGCTGTTTGGTAGGGGAGTCTGCCTTCATTATAACAAAGGAAATGGACTGGAAAAGAAATCAAAAGTCAAATCGCGAAAACTCGAATTTGAGAGTAAACAAAAATTGAAACTTTTCTTTTCTTTTCTGACAACATTTAGATCGAAAAAAAAATAGACGTTAACATAAATCGAGAGCAAATTATCAGAGCTTTCCTCTATGAAAATTTCCACTCCAGTTTTTACCACATGTTCTTCAAACCACTACGTAAAACACTAGAAAGCTGAGTTTTGTTGATTTTTACACTGAACAATTCAATTATCTTATGCGAGACAGAACTTATGCAGCCATTTTTAGACCCAAAACTTCTTGAAACCCAGTTTTGAAAATTTCATAGAGTGTAGCTCTGATCATTTAAGCTCAATTTAAGCAGAACTTTTATTAAGTAAATGCTGTCCAAAAGAATCTTTTAAAACGGGCATTTATATGAGTAAAGCCCTAGATTTGTGTTTAATTTTGACGACTCGTGTAAGCGAAAATCACTTTGAAAAATTGTTTAGGTGGAAACATTTAATTCCCAACAACAAGTAAAGTTGCCCTCTCAAAAGAAAAAGGTCAGCTGAAAAATCTTACTGGGTCGGTTATCTGCTATTGGACGAAAGACTGACGATGAGCACCAGAAAAGCTCCTTCAGAAAATCAAAAGTGAAAATTGTTCCACTACTCAGGACACCCACGAACTTTAAGCCTAAAAACAGTCATTTATGTCATTAGCTACACACAAATAATTATTACATTATTTCAGTTGGAGTTTACATATACCTGATTGAGTAGAACTCGTGCATATCATGGAATCGATTAAAGAAGCAATAGACTGCGATGCTTTGTACACAAACTTCTTCGACTCAGTGGATATATAGTGGATACATCGTTTCTCGTCTGAACTTGTATTTCGTAGCACAATGTAAGATGGCGTACACAACTGCAAATCGTGCCATCCAGTTGTCTTTTTCAAATTATGCGATGAAACTAGATCCAAGCAGAGCTTCATTTTTTAGGTATTGCATCTACATCCCAGATCTTGGAACAAAAAAGAAATATCAAAATTACATCTATAGCAACAAGGCAGTGAAGGAACACGTTGCAAGCTTTTGCATACGAAATGTATTCGAAACAAACCCTGAACTAATAGACAGATATTGCAATTATGAGAGAATATTAGGCTGACTGAGTCAAACATAGAAATAAAAACTAGTCTGTAAAAACACGTGTTGTCGTTTACACCGAGTTTTCCGAAACTTTGCAACTTCAGTCGACCAAAGCCAAAAACCTATGGGAGACAAGGAAGTGGTGTTCTTTGAACAGTTGAAAAGGTGTAAAGTGGTATGTTGGGAAACACAGTAGGGACAGTTTGGGAGGGACGTTTGGGTCGGGCTGTAACCGGACCTTAGTTGGGAAAGCGTTCTTCTGTCGGTGCGAGGGAGGAATTCTTCAGAGGGGAGACGCCAGGTGGTTTGAGAGTAAAAAAACTTTAGGGGGATGTTGCCTGTTTGACACTTTTAGAGTGCAGTTGTTTAAAAAAAATCGATGTAATTTTGAAAGGCGAAAAACTTGGTTCGTTAAAATCATGTAAAGTCGAAAAGAAGTGTATTCTTGTGCTGTGTCTTGCAGGATATGTTCTATTGCGGGACTATATAGATCAGGTATTGACGGGCGGATGTTTCGGGGAGGTCTGGGGTGATTGTGATAAAAACATGTGCCGGTCGGTCATGTTGAAGAAGTTAGTTTGTTTTTGATTTGAAAATAATTTTTTCAAAAATTCCAATTGGCCCTATCATGCTGTTTCTCGCGATACCCGAAACGAAGCCAAGAATCATTACAGCCGAAAAAACAAAAAAAAAACACTTTAATTGCACATCGAAATTAATTTCAATACACAAGTGTATGTCAAATGTTTTCTGTTTTTTTTTTCTATCAGCTCATAAAAATATTATAACATCATTAGATACACATAGTTACAATAACAATGAACAAAACAAAATCTTTTACAATTATCGATGATTACTTTTCACCTGAGAGCTTCAAGGTGGTTTATATATAAATGTTATTATATAAACTTGAAGCTTTTCCATGAAACTTTACCATGAGTTGCCACAGAGAGGTCTTCTTTAAACAATAATAAATAATAATTCTTGAATTTTATCTTTGTTTTTCTGTATGTTACTATGTCTTTAAAGTTGACTTTATCATCTGTTAGTTTGTTCCAGATTATGACGGACTTTTTAAAGAAGGAATTTTCTATGTATTGCCCATTGTATCTGTCGCCGAAGTATAATTTTTTGTTTCTTGTATTATTATCTATTTGGTGGTTATCATACTCAATGTTATAATAGGCTGGCAATAATTGATGTTGTATTTTCCAAAAGTGACATAATATTTTATAGTCCAGAAACATTGTTACTGGTAATATATTGTGTTTTAGCTTCAAGTCTGAAGATGAGTCGTATTTTGCACGATCGCAGCAAGTTTTTACTGCCCAGCTTAACTGTTTTTCCAGAGATATCATTAGGTTAGCGGATATTCCACTTAATAGAATTGCTGGTTAATGCAAATGACCAATTACCAGTGCATGCATTATCAAGAGTCTTGTTTTCACTGGCAATGGCTTTTTGATTGATTGAAGTGTTTTTATTCCGCATGCCATTTTCCTGAGAATATTTTTGATTTCATCTTGGAATGTCAGAAACTGATCTAAAACTACTCCTAGATATTTAACATTTTTTTTTCCTCAAATTTTTTATCATCTAGAGTTAGTATACTTTCCATCCTTTTTTCCTTGAATGTTTTTTGCTGAAAATGTTGAGTTCTGTTTTTTTTTTGAATTCAATTAAAGTGAGTGTTCTAAAAAATAATTTGACAACAGACTGCAATTAGCTTCGAGTGCTTTAATAGCTTTTTGTGGATCGTTATTTTCACAGAAGAGTAATGTATCATCCGCATATTGAACTATTTTACATGTTTTGTCAATTTGTTTGTTGAGATAGTTAATGTAGAGATTGAATATTAGAGGGCCAAGGACAGTGCCCTGTGGGACACCCTGCTCAAGTGCAATCCAATCGGATTCGGTGTTGTTAACAATTGTTTTCTGGCTTTAGTTGAAGATAAAGGAATTGATCATTTCTATAGCTTCTTCGGAAAAGTTTAACCATTTTAGTTTCTGTTTAAGATAAGTATGATCAATAGAATCAAATGCTTTAGAGAGATCCAGTAAGGAACATGCTACAGTTTTGTTGTTGTCTATTGCTTTTCTGAATGCTTCAGTGCAATAAAGAATAGCGTCGATTGTTGCATATGATGTTCTGAACCCAAATTGGGTATTACTTAGTAATTTTTGGGATATCAGATATTCGTTGATTTGTTTATATAATAATTTTTCAAAAACTTTTGAGAGAGACCCAGTTATAGAGATAGGCCTATAATTTTCTGGTAGTTCTGGATCTTCTTTTTTGTAAGTTGGTGTGACAATTGCTTTTTTGAGCTTGCAAGGATATGTCTTGTTTTTCAAAAACTCATTGTATAGAAATGTCAGATATGTGTATATTTCATTGCAGCCATCCTTCAATGCCCAGGCTGGAATTTTGGATGGACCTGGTGCCTTTTGACAATTTAAATTATATATTTCTTTTTTACATTCAGCTGATGTGATGAATCGGAATGAAAATTTATTATTATTTTCGAATTTTGCATGTAGAAGTCGGTGGACTTTGCCTGATTTTTGAATTTTTCTCATGAAAGCATCCAAGAGTTGAGAACTTGTAATTTAGCAGGTTCGCCATCTGTAAATTTTTGGTTATGAAATCGCCGAAGGAGTTTCTAAGTAATGGAATGAGGTTGGAAGATTTTTTTTGAGTTTCTTGTATCGTTTATTATACTCCATTTTTCGCGTTCGCTTTTTTTCGAGTTAAACAGTTGAGATATAAATTTATCATATTCGTAGTTTACCTTTCGTTTGTCGTTGCGAATGAAAATAGTCTTCTGTGGGGCAAATTCTTTTATGGTGTCAGCAATGTTAGATGTGAAGATGTCGAGCATTATTTCGGGATTATTATTGCTATAGAAACTTCTCCAATTTATAGCTGATAGTTTTTGTTGGAATTTGTAATTGGAGTAATTGGATTTGTCATATATTTTACCTTTGATTGATCTTACATTGTTGTTCAGCTTAAGTTCTGTAATGAATGATGTTGCTTGGTGGTCGGTCTTAATTGGTGGTGTGAAAACTATTGAATTATTTGTTAGATCTTTTATGCCTAGGTCGGTGATAATATAGTCAATTAGTGCTTTTAGTGAGTAGGTGTTAATTTATTGTGACGTCCAGATTATATGGTATTAGGATTGTATCTAAGGACTGTTTGTCGTCTTCGTTGAGATAATTGAGATTGTAATCTAGTAAAATTAGGTTTGAATTAAATGACTGTGCATGGTCAGTCTATTTGGGTAGATCTTCTAAGAAGTCTGTTTTGTTGTTTCTATTAGGATTGTAGGCGAGGTTTAATAGAGTGGTTCTATCATTTTTGTTGAGTCCGGCTTTAAATTCTATCCAGATGCTATCATACTTTTTGTGCATGTTGTTTAAGTCATGTCTTACTTTTGGGTTTAACTTTTTTGGAACCAGTAACATGACCCCTCCACCCTTCTATTTTTTACTTGATTCATAAGTTCTATCACATCGGAACAACTTAAGTTTGTCATTGTCTATGGCCCATAGTTTATCGTCATTTGTATCATTGAACCATTGTAGCAACCCATGGAAAAATATACTTTCCTTTTCTTTTATTCGGTACCTCATAAGCTACAAATTGATCGCTTTCGCAGAAGCTGATGACAGATATGCTAGTTAAGGCAAAAAGTAATAGCATATCGCTTTGTAGAACAATTATAGTTAAAATTACAAATAACAGTCGTTTATCAAAAAGATAGTCTTAACTAGTATAACTTAATAATGAAAACCTTGAGAGTAGTGATATGACTGCTGGTTACGATTCAGGTTATGGTTATAATTACTATCACAGCCCCATGAGTTGTTGTTGAAATTATTTTGACCAGTTTGTCGGCCATGACCAATTTGTCGGCCATATGGGTGCATGCGATTGTTACTATAGGGTCTATTGGTAGACCTATAAACATTTTTATGTTGATAATTGGAAAGAGATTTTTGGTTGGGATTTGCTTTTCCAGTATAATCAGGGGCTGGTTTTACCCTCGGGAGTTTACTTGAGTGTTTGAACACGTATGAGCCGAGGCAATTGCGCAAGAATGGTATACCTAATTCATCGTTCAGGTGTATAGTGTCAAAATATAAACTCTGATAGCCCTCCAAGCTTTTGATGTTTGAGTTTAGATTTAGCACCTCAAATCCCTTTGTCGAACCATACATTTCATTCAGAAAACGATTATAACGATCAATTTTGTCATTAGCATCATCATTGTTAAGTATTGGTGGTATTTCGCAAATAACAATCGAATCTGGTGAACATTTTGCAGTTATTAAAGCGATAAGTTCTTCATATTTGGCGCTAAATTCATCAATCGTTGAGTAAAGTTTTTTTAAGATGGAGTTTGTCCCATCTTGGATTATCACACATTTAAGTTTTTTTTCACTATATTGGTCAAGAACTTTTATTTTCTCCTCAGTGGAGCTACCCCTGTATGCATGAACAATCGTAGCATTGGGGAAAGTTTCAGTTTTGACCCTAGCAATTATACTTGAACCCAAAATCAAGTTTACAAACTCCTCTGGTACAGGAAAAGGCGAAAAGTTTCTCACATTTTTTGATACATATTTTGCTTTCGTCGATGTTGACTGTAATTTGCCATCCTTATCTGCTTCCAATGTTTTCTCAATAAACTCCATTATTTTACGATAATCTTCCTTTTGGTCGTACAAATCGGAGTAAATCTTGTATAATGCTGATTTTTGGTCGTACAAAAATCCATTAAATTCTTCTTGGCTAAGTTTTTTGCTTGACATGGTTAAAATGGATGCAACTGACTGGCAACTGGAAGGACAGTATTTGATAAT